ACTATACATTTCAAAACTTACAGTTCAAGTTTTTTCGAGTAAAAGCATTTTTGACTCGAATTTCCGACTCAAAAATCCGAAATTTCAAATTTCACCCTTTAAAAAACACACTAAAGGAATGAACTTTCATTTTGTAGAAAAAAATAAAATCATAAATAAGTTCAGAGAGAAAAATCTGAATTAAAATCATGCTAAAGACGCGTCTACCCCCTTAAAACCTAAACTGTATTTCCCAAAGAAAGCGAAATTTGTTTAGTTAATGAGTTTTCCACAAAACGAGCTTAGAAGTATTATTTTGCGGAAATGCGCCCTTCCGCGTTTCGCTTTTATCAGCAGGAAAGGATTAATTTTCGTTTTCTGAAAAAGCAATTGTTTTTAAAACGAGCTTTCACTTTTTAAATTAATTGATTTCAAGTGCTCCTTTTCGATCGGCGGATAATTAGGCGCAAGCTGATTTCTTCTGTTTTCAAAATAATTTATTCCAAAGAAATGTGAAAGTGAATCTGTTTGTTTGAGTTGGAAACGGTATATTGATGCACAAAAAGATTCGAGTTTATAAAATAAAAAGGGTAAAATTTTTGATTTTTAAGAATTTCAGAATTTTTTGACCAATCAGATTTCAGCATTCGACGCAAAAATATTTTTTGTCAGAAAAGTCGATTCGCGCCGCTTTATCAAAAAATTGTCGAAAGTTAATTCATGAATTCAAAAGACAAAAAAACAGGATGATGTCTGGAACCGACAAAAAATTTCGACAAATTTTGCGTGGGCAGCTACTCGGATGCTGATTGGCCGGTTTGCCGAATCCAGGCTTCTGATTGGTTGAAAATTTCCCCGCAAAATTTGTCGAAATCTTTTGTCGGTTCCAGACACCTCCCAAAAACGCTATAGAGTTTGTTAGGTGGAACGAGTCGACAAAAATGCGACGAATTTCTGCGTGGGCGGCTTTTCAGCTGGTTGGTTGGCCGATAGCCCGAATAGAATCTTTTGATTTGCGGAAAATTCCGACTCAACAGTTTGTCGCGCTTTTTGTCGCGATCCTAAAATTTGATGAAATTTGGTCAAAAAGCCTCATTGAGCTTTTTGCTTAGCCAGTTGCTGGCGACTTTTTGAGAAAAAAATCTGAAATTGAAAAGAAAGTCATGTTCGGTCACGTTCAATTAGTTCCTGGTTTAAAATTAGTTCCTCAGAAAAGCCGTGGCTGCTCCTTTGAGCGTTGAATATTGGCGCTAATTTCATTTGGCTTTCTTATTCCTTGGCTAGGGGTTTTTCGTGAATTCTGGAAGCTGGGCTGAGCTGGCCGCGAAGGAGCGAAAAGCGGATTCACTCTGTAACACACGAAAAATGCGCATCAGATGCAAATCCGCGCGCTAATGCAACCGCTGGACCAAGAACTACAAACTCAACCACACAAAGCTCGGGCTCAGCTACAAATAGAAAAATTCCAGAGCTTCGGGGGAGCTGGGAACTGCAGTTCAAATAATCTTTCAAATTGCTCAACGAATTCGAACTTTCCTGTCAAAAACTGAGGTGGCGTCAGGAACCGACAAAAAATTAAACAAATTTTGCGTGGGCGGCTACTCGGCTGCTGACTGGCCGGCTAACTGAATCCAGGCTTCTGATTGGTCGAAAATTTCCATGCAAAATTTGTCGAAATTTTTTTGTCGGCTCCTGACACCTCTCCCGAAAACTGAGTAAAAAACCTGTCTTGAAAACCTGAGTCAGGGTTCATAAAAAGATTTTTTTCTGACCCTGACTCAGGTTTTCTACACAGTTCATCAAATAGTCAGGCTTCACGAAGCGACAACAAATTGCGCAAATTTTTCGTGGGCGGCTATTCGGCTGCTGATTGGTCAAAAATTTCCACACAGAATTTGTCGCAATTTTCTGTCGCTTTTCCGCCTGTATCCCCTTGAAATGACATAATATTTGAACAGGGTATTTGAGAAGCATCAGAAGTGAACTTGCTCCTTCACAAAATCCAACACTAGTCGCTGTCCCGCAAGTGGCACTTTTGAATCGTCGAGTTTCGCGTGGCTCCCAGCTGCGGATACATTTATCAAACTAGCGCTTAACTAGTGGCACCTGACGCCAGCTCCTTCGCCGATCATGTTTGTTTTTAATCGTTCTTTCCGGTAATCCCCATTTTTTGTCGCAAGAAAGTGCATTTCCGGGCTCACGTTAGATCCAATCATTCACGAAAGCAGAATTATTCGGCCGCTGCGTTCGCCAGATAAATTCGATTTCCAAACGCGTAAGTTGATGTTCCTCTTCTTCCGAAATTTCAGATCCACTTTAGGCTTTAAACTTAGTCCAAAGAAACAGCGTAAATACAGTTTTCATCCGAAATAACAATTTTGGCAAAATACTTCTTCGTAATACCTTCGTAAAATTTTCATTCAAGAACCACAAAAACAGGTTTTTTGGACTCAACCAATTTTTGGAAATGAATTTTTGGATAACCAATAAGATTGCTGTATTTGGCCTACCGGCCAATCAAAACCCTTTCCATAAAAATCTATTCCAAAAATTGGTTCTACCCGGTTTTTTCCTGTTCTGAACCCTGTTTTAAGGCCTGTTTTCAGAATTTTTTGCAAAAAAACACAAGGAAAACAGGATTAAAACAGGGTTTGAACAGGTTTCCACACAGATCCTGATTAAAATTTTAAGAAATATCAGAAAACAGGACCAAAACAGGTTTTAAGACAGGCTTGTTTTTGACTCAAAAATCTTCCAAAAGGTCATATTTTCTGCTTTCAATCCTGTTTTCGCGTACTCAGGGAAAAAGACAGGGTCGAAAACAGGTTTTTAAATTGATCAAATGCCAAAAAACCTAACCCTAAATAATTTTGTTTCCAAGAATAAGTTCTATTAGAGAATCTGTCTTCTCTCAAGTCATATCAATCCCATCCTTCGCCCCGTTTTGCCAACAATTCTAGTTCCTTCCTAATTCTCCTCTCCCTGTTCTAGCCTCTTACTTAACCACTAAGAAAGAGGGTTGAGAAAAGTGTGAGTTTGACGAAAAAAACAGGGCCTAATCGATTCAAGAGCTGAATATTCAGGACGATACGGTGTTCAGTGGAATCTCGAGCTCTCTCTCGACTATCTCAAAGTCTAAACAGCGAAAAGAGAGAAGATATTCAAATCGCTGTTTGGCCTAACTCAGCCGCTAAGGTGGCTCATTCGGCTGAAATCAACTCGCCAACTTATCGAATTGACTTCCGCTTCATAAGTACGCCCATGCTAATTTTCTATTTTGCAGTTCAGCGAAACTCGAGAGGGCGAAAGCAAAACGTGGGCCTTATCCGGTCAGGGTCCTTTTATTACTGTATTTTTCAATATCTAGCTATCTTTTAAACCTGTCTAAAAGACTGTGATACGCTTTGCTTAATGAAAAAAGATGGCTTGTCATGGAAAAATTTTGAAAAAATTTCAGGGTTCAAAAAAATGTAAACCCCGACTCAGGTTTTTGACACCAATTTCTGGGGTTTCGCCTCAAATCGACAAAAAATTCGTAAAAATCAAGTTTTTCCGGAATTTTTTTTCTGAAATCTGATTCGCTTATTCGCCGAATGCGGTCATCTTATTGGTCAAAAATTTGACCGAAATTTTGGTCGAATTTTTCTTATTTTTTTTATCGATTGAGCCAATTTTGACCAAAATTTGATTTTTTGCCATTTTTCATTAGTGATCTCCTTAAAATCTCCGAGGAAAAAGAAGGTATTTTGTTGACTACTGTTTACGTGAACTTTCTTCTCGAGCTAATTGCCTTACTGAGAAGCTCCAATTTACAAAAAGTGAGCATCTATCGTTTATTTGGGCAACAGGCGATCAATTAATTCTCTCAATATCATCCCTCGATTAGATTCATATCTTCGAAAATAGCTTTTAATGCAAAGCGAGGGGAAATGACCAATTAGAGCTGCTCGAAATTCACTTCCTCCTCATTAATAAACACCGTATTACTTCAGACTTTAATTGAGCAGATTTCGTCCACAAAGCAAAAATGAAAGAAAGAAAGACAGAGCGTCACGTGTGTTTAACGTAGTTAGAGACGCATGAAACGCGTAAATATTATCACTGCTAATGGCTCTCTAACGCACAAAAGTAACTATACGTCGTTCTAAGTCAAGAGCAAAAGAGTCAAGGAAAAATTCTAGGGAGCATTCAGTGGGCCTTCCCCTAACCCTAAGCCTTGCCCTCCTAGGTTAGGGTTAGGGGACCGACAAATAGCCTCTACTACCCTGTTTGGATATGACAACCTGTGTAGAAAACCTGAGTCAGGGTCTTGAGAGCTTTAACTAACGGCCCCGCTGCTTTCTCGGAGGCTTTTTTTGAGAGGTTTTTAGGACCCTGATAGTCAGGGCCTGACTCAGGTTTTCGACACAGGTCGCCGGACCCAGACAAGGTATAAGGGGTTATCTATCGGCCCTCCAAACCCTAACAATGCTAGGCAAGGCTTAAGATTAGGAGGCCAATTGATGACCCCCTAAAAAAAATTTAATCCTAATACGCAGTTTCCATTCTCTACACGCTATTTTTATGATTTAAACCCAATGGCAGTTTACAAGGAGCAAAACAAAAAGCTCTCATTTTCTTCCATCTTTGTGACCGATAAATTCTAGCTTTGGAATGTAGTTTTTAAATTCTTCTATGAGAAAGCGGCTGAGCCCTTTGTTTCCCTGACAGAAGGGCAATCTCGCGTGTAGATGATGATTGTAAACTCACATGCGTGTACGGTTTCTATTACACTGATCCGCCACGAACATGTGTCCAACGTCATCAGTGGTACCATTTCTGGGCATCGAATAAGCGCGCCAAGAAGCGGGGTTAATTTCAACATTATTCCATCACTGTTGAGATTCACCTTCGACGACGGTTCTTAGTTACTCGCGTTTTTATTCGGAAAAAAAAACAACTTTGGTTCAACTTATAAAGTTCAAGGAACATTTTTTCACATAAAAAAATCATCTGCCAATTTTTACAATAATGATTTATTATTAAACACATCGATCAAACGTTGTTTCCATAATAACGGGATACTGAACCCCTTCGTCTGGTTGAAATCCGATTACTTTTGTGCCAAGAACTTCGGTCTCTTCAAGGTCGATTCGTTGAATTGGAGCATCAGAGCCATATCCGGCGACGAGGTAAATCGAGGACCCTGATTCAAGAGCAGATGCAAAGAACACTTTCTATAGAAAAATATTTAAATATTCTGTAAAAAAATTTATTTACTTTTTTCAGATTTCCAGTGATTGTCCAGGCGTCATTTTTAAGCCGCCAAATGTCTGTTGCAGCAGTTTCTGCGATCGAATCATATCCGCCAATTGAAAGCATGGATCCATCGGTCAACCCGATAAGAGAATGGCCATAAAGAGCTCTAGAAGAATCCGTCTTTCAATTTAATTTTTTAATTTGGCTTACATTGGATGATCTCCAGTTTCAATCCACCCAGACTCAGTCAATATCTCCACCTGTGCAAGAGATGGCGCATCCCACTGCCAGCTGCCCACAGTCGTTGGCTGACCATTGTAAAAACCGAGCCCGGCGTACAAATGATCATTCGTCGTCATCGGTGCGATGCTCACTTCATTCCCGTCGAAATAATTGCAAGTTTTTGCATTTTCAGGGTTCGAGCGAGAATATGAAAAGCAGATGAGCGCTTGAATTTTTTTTAATAATGAAAATGATTTTTAAAACATTCTGAAGGTTACCTTCATTTCCACTCGAAAAAGTAAGAGTAGAGCTTTTGGAATGAGGAGGAAAAGTAAGCTCCAGATCGAGAAAAGAAAATGAACAGTCATCAAGAAACGCGACTTTTTTGACGAAAGAATTGTCAATTTTTTGATACGCGCCAAAAACATAAAGGACATCTTTTATGAGCGCATGTTTTGCGTCCGTCAAAAACTGTTCATTTGGAGCGTCAATCGTTGCTTGAACGGTTTCAGATCCGTCCCCTTTGATGATGAACGCATTGTGCAAGTCGACGAATGGTGCTGAATCGTCGTAGTAGTAATAAGAAGAGGTGTAGTTGTAGTAATAGTAGCTGTAGTCAGAGTTGCGAATTTTGCTTTATTTTCGCTGAGCTGAGCTGACCTGCGTGAAAAATTCTCTGAGCTGAGCTGAGTCGGCCTTTTTCGGAGCTCACCGACCTGAGTTGAGCTGAGCCGCCCGTTTTCAATGGTCATTGAGCTGAGCTTAGCTGACCTTAGCTGCCCTTTTTAAATAGTTGAGCTGAGCTGAGCTGAGCAGACCCTAATAAGAGCTGAGCTGAGCTGGGCTGAGTATTTTTTACTCTATTAGTAGTTAAATTGTGTTAAAACCATTGAGCTGAGCTGAGCTGAGCTGAGCAGATCAGATCATTTTAGAAAATCAATGAGCTGAGCTGAGCGACTGCTCAGCTCCCTCAGCTCAACAAATTTGCAACTCTGGCTGTAGTCAGTGTAGAGCAAGACCATGATAGACGGAAAGGCTTCTTCTGGGCAAAGCGGATGATCGCAGTTTTTGCACCCTTCTGGGCAATTTTCTCCACACGGGCACGCATTTAGACAGGCTTCAAAGAATTAAAACGCCTGTTAGTTTCCTTCTCTTACTGTCATATTCTCTTTCGCAAATCGAGAGACAATATTCAGTCTCACATAAAAGTCGGCATCTCGTAAATTCCATCCGACAATTTCCATTGCATTCTTCTTGTATTAAATCATCCCTTCATTCTACATCCAAGAGGAAATTATTTAACTCTACTTACGGACAGTCTCCCTTCATTATTTCGTTGCTTATTTTGTTGACGGCAAAGATGCCCGAAAAAAGGCCAAAAAACGTCATTTTGAAGTTTTTCATCGTTCAAGTGAAATGATATTTCTGACCTGGTTTTGATAGATTTGGCAAATAAAAATCGAAAAGTTCGAAATGCTCTGCAAAGTTCAGGGCAATTCTAATGAACGGGGTTTATTAGTTCGCTTTAGTCAGAAAAAGTAGACAGTTACATAACCAAAAATTTACCAAATAAAAAATTATTACAGGATTATTAAAAAATAAAGCACAAAACTATTAGTTAAAGGGTGTCACAATTTTGACAAAGACAGTAAGTCTGAAAATCGTCTAAAACGACATCTATCTCCTTATAAAGCTCCCTAGCTGTATTTCCTTATTATCGAGTCATCATTACGAAGCTCTTTCTAAGTAGAATTTACCCTTAGATCTGTCTGAAAATGACTTTAATCTGTAGATCTGAAATATCCCATTTCGCGAAAATAATCGGCTAAACCCTAGACCCTCTAAAATCGCTTCTTTCCACGGTGCCGGAAAAGCAATGTCGCCTCCTTTTTTTTGAAATTAAAGAAATGCGAGCCGGGCTGTACTGTTTTGGTGTTTTTGCGACTGGAGCTCCCAGTTTAGATTTTAAGCCGCCATATTTCCCGAGGGATTGAAACTAAGCTGCCACAAAATCACACGTTAGGCGCTCCAAAGAAAGAGGATTAAGGCGATACCTAGGAAACGTACCGCCAGCCAGCGAGTTGCGGTACATACCGACTCAAAGATTCTCTCGATTTTTTTTAAAGAGTGCGGGCCTTAAAATCAGGAAAAGTGAGGAACTACGGAATCAGCTGTGTAGTCAGCTGATGTTCTAGCGTTTTGCGCAGCGCAACGAAATTTGAATTATTTTCATTAAACCACGAAGATACTCTAAAAAGTTCATGAATCTGACGACTTTCGTTATTTCCTGGCCCAGGTGCGTCTACTCCAGATACGTAAAAATACATGAGTAAGTGTATCGAGTTCTTTGCCCTTCGTAACGTGGCATTTGATCAGTTTTACTAAATTTGCATAAAATGACGTTTCGGGCCGAGTCATCCTTTTTTTCTGAGTTCGACTATTTTCGGTCGACAGTTTTGACCAAAATTTTGAGAAATTTTTTGACCAATCAGATTTCAGAAAAGATTTTTCAAAATTTTTGTCCAAATTGTCGACCAAATTCCCCTAAATTGCGAAAATGCAAGAGTTGCAGTTATGAATTTAAAAAAAAAATGCTTGTTTTTTGAGAAAACAGCGGCTCGTGGAAGCTTTCCTCGTCCTGGTTCAAATATAACAAAGGCGAAAAAGAGTCGGAACTCGCTTTCAAAGAATATTTTTTTCTGAGGAAGAAAAATATCGAAAAACGAAAATACGGCTCTTTTTAGAGGATTATTTTTTGCTTATTAGATCATCTCTTACTGTAACGAAAAATTCAAAAAACGTTGGTTTTCCGTTTTTGTCTTTGGAAAAGTTTCCATAACGCGGCTTTCAGCGGCTTTGGCGTTGACTTTGAAATTGTTGTGAAAATTTGAAAATTGTCAATTTTGATTTTGCAACAAAATCTAATCCGGGAATTATTCTAAAAGCGGCTATTATGGGCGGTTTCTGACAACATGATATTACGCTGGAATTTTCAGCTAAAGGACACGACCTTAATTTCGCGAAAATCAATTTCCACTCAAGTGAACTATTTCACGGCAACGTGGGTGACGCAGTTTCTAGCAATCGCTTGTTTTGAACTTATAAAAGATTGAGTTACTCATTCTTCTTGCATGTGAATATTATAAAACGGTTTTAATCCACAAAAAAGACGCCATTTTTTTTTGATTTATTAAAATTTTCGAGCAAGAAAGTGTACAGAATTATTTCAAAACGGTAATATTCCAGCGGACATAATATCTTTCTCCTTTGAATTTGACCATCCCGCTTGAATCTGGCGTCAACTTCTTCGCCGAGTTGTAGCTCTTCCCATCATGATAGTCAATATTGTCCGCGTCGGCCTTAAAGTCGACGCGTTTTCCTAAAAAATAAAAATCTGAATTTCAAAAATCAATACCTTTGTAAGTGATCCACATCTTCCAGAAGCCGTCGCCGCCGTTGAAATTGCTCTGCGATTGAAGTCGCATTATCAAGCCAATTTCCGTCACTTCTAAATCTTCGCCAACAAAAAACTTTATTTTGGATGAAAATCGCGTGGAAACAAAAATCAAAATCAAAAAATGCGATTTTGTCCAATTCCTTTAAATTGAAAGTCGTTAGTCCCACAGCCATTCCTTTCAGCACTCGTCGGACTGCTTCTTCAGAGTGGTGAGTTCGGTCTAAAACATGGTCTCTGCCGTAGAAATGGCCGAATCCATTTTTCGCTGGAAATTCAAAAACATCGCGAAAAACTTCGATTTCAGCACCAGATTTTTTCAATTCGTCAATGCCCTTTTCAGCTTGTTCCTTCAGTTGTTTTAGGTTTGAAATTTCCTCCTTCAGTTCTTTTGAAAAAGCTCCAGTTGTTTTCTGAACCTCTTTGATTTGAAAATCGCGCTCCTTGCTCGCTAAAATCGCGGTTTCTTTGAATGATTCAAGTTCTACGACTCTTTTTTCCAGCCGTTCATTTTTCGCCTTCAATTCATTTTTCTCTTTCTCCAAAGTTTTCACATCAAATGCCAAGCTTCGGAAAGTCGCATTGTCATTTTCAAGCTGTTCAAGTCTCTTCAAAATCGAGTTCAGCATTGAATTGTCGATCTTTGCGTTGTTCTCGCCAGAATCCTTGCCCTTGTTTTTGTAGTTGCTACTTCCAATCGAGCTCTCAGACATTTGGTCAGCGTTTTGCATTGTCGAAAGATTCTAGTTTTTTTTTTCTCGATCTCTAATTTTTCAATTGCAAATTGAGTTTTTCTGAGCTCTTATTGCTAAAGTAAATAATCCACCAACTACCATTGCAAACAATCGAATGTCAACAGAATTTCGAGCTGCGGAGAATTAAGTAAATAGTTATTGGAACTCTAATATTCTGGGCTCGGCAACCTGAGTAGAAAACCTGAGTCAGGGTCTGAAAGATCAAAAATGAAAAGCCGCGAAGAATATTTAAAAACAGTTTTAATCCACAAAAAAGACGCTATTTATTATTTTTTTTTTGAATAATTTAAATTTTCGAGCAAGAAAGTGTTCAGAATTATTTCAAAATTGTAATATTCCAGCGGACAAAAGCACAATTTCCTTTGACTTTGACCATTCCGCTTGAATCCGGCGTCAATTTCTTCGCCGAGTTGTAGCTCGTCCCATCTACACTGTCAATATCGTCCGCGTCGGCTTGAAAGTCGACGCGTTTTCCTAAAAAATAATAATCTAAAGTTCAACAATCAATACCGTTGTATGTTAGCCACAGTTTGTAGAAGCCGTCGCCGTCGTAGCTTTTGGAGAACATTTGATGTCGGATTCTCCAGCCGCCTTCCGTCACTTCTAAATTTTCGCCGTAATGAAACTTTATTTTGGATGAAAATTGCGTCGAAACAAGAAACAAAAAAAATAAATTGCGATTTTATCCAATTCCTTTAAATTGAAGTTCGTCAGTCCCGCCGCCATTCCTTTGAGCACTCTTCGTACAGCGGCTTCGTCGTGGTGGGGTCGGACGTTGTAAGAATCAAGCTCGTAGAAATGGCCGAATCCATTTTTCGCAGGAAATTCGAAAACATCGCGAATAATTTCGATTTCAGCTTTTTCCTTCAGTTGTTTTAGGTTTGCAATTTCCTTCTTCAGTTCTTCTGAAAAAGTTCCAGTTGTTTTTTGAACCTCTTCGATTTGAAAATCATGCTCCTTGCTCGCTAGAATCGCGTTCTCTTTGAATGTTTCAAGCTCGGCGACTTTTTTTTCGAGCTCTTCATTTTTCGCCTTCAACTCGTTTTTTTCTTCCTCCAAAGCTTTCAGATCGAATGCAAGCCTTCTGAAAGTTGAATTATCCTTTTCCAGATTTTCGATTCTCTCCAAAATCGAGTTCAGCATTGAATTGTCGATTTTCGTGCTGTTTTCGCCAGACTCCTGGCCCTTATTTTTGTAATAGCTACTTCCTAGAGAGCTCTCAGAAATGATTGATTGTTGGTCTGCGTTTTGCATTTCCGAATGTTATTCGTTAGTTCGATTTCTCTATGTTTGTTGCTTAAAATATTATTTACAATGGCTTCGCAAAAAACTCATAAAATTCTATCACCACTGAGCAATAAGATGATCATCATTGTAAAAAGTGGGTGTGCCTGTGTTGAAAGCTCTGAGAATAACCCGGTTCAACTCTTATATGTTTATTCCTCCTCAATTATAATTCCGATTCCCTTAGCCAGATGCATATCCATTTTTTGATCAACGATCTCAGTCGCTAAAATTAATTTAAGTAATGATGAACGTGTCAGCGAATTCGTTTTGGCGGCGAAAGGGTAAGAAGCGCGAAAATCAGCTCGGTAGGTGCGAATCGCATTCCCCGTCATAATTGGCGAGCCCTACAGCTGCCGCTTTTTTTCTGGTCCTTTTCTGAATTTTAAGCTGAACCAAAGTTCAGCGCAATTTTTTTCCTGTATTCATTCTAGTCGGTCGCGAGAGAATATTTCTGAGAGTCGATTTTTTATGTGTTCATTTCCGTAAATTTATACACGAAAGTGCATTTTCGTCTGCGGAATCGATTAGAGAGGAGGATCGCATCCGGAACGCCTCGTTTTTTAGATGATGAGTACTTCCGGGGATCATCGCAAAACTCAATACTCCAGCGGTCGACTAGAAAGTCAAACCGATCGAAGCTTTCCAAGGTTGAATAAATAAAGGAAATCTACAGGCAGCCATTTTCTTCCGAAAATGCGGAAAAAAAGCTCGTCGTGTTAAAACCTGAGTCAGGATCCTGAGAAAACAAGAATAAAAAACTGCGTAGCGGCTTTTTTTAACAAAAATAGCCAGCAATTTCTCATTGTCATTATACCGCTTTGTCATTATTGCTTTTTCAGGACCCTGACTCAGGTTTTCTACACAGGTCGCTGATAGAAGTTGAATGATGTGCTGGATATTTGGCCGGGCGGCGTTGCCTTATGCTACTGTAGTTGCTCATGCCTCATGATGGTCAAACACGTTATAGTTTACAGTTGATTGTATTGATCTCTGGAGAGAGCAGAGTGTATCGAAAGGTAAAGTGTTTCAGAAGGAGTATCTTTTGGGTGTCTTTTTATCAGAGTGTCAAGAATCAGAGAGTGGAGTTGTGCCGAGGACTCGCGGACATGTAGTTTACGACATTTGCTCGGGTGCGCCTATGCGCTGGTGAAACCCTTATTCAGCACATCTCTACTGAGTCTTACTAGTAAATCTGCAGTCTCTTAAATCCCCCTGGGTAATCTGTTTTGATGACTTCGAAAATGTAAAATTGTGACTGATCCGTTTCACGATGAATTTGTTACTTTCACGGAGCTGCTCGGCCCCGGCAATTATCGCAGTGTCGATTTTCGCCCTTTTTTCGAGCGCCGTTATTTCGCGCTTGAAGTTCCTTAACAATAGTAATTTCGGAAAAGCGCAGAAGCCGCGAATTCTTGCGCCGTCAACGCCGCCTATTTAACACACACTTTTTCGAAGCTGAAAATCGAAAGAAGCATTGTTGAGGCCGTTTATCGGGCCATTCTTGAGCTGCAAATTTCAAGGGCGAATACTCACACGTGTTTATCAATTTATTTTTGAGCTAAAGAAGCCGCGCATTTTCTGCGTGTTATGCCGTTTTCTGATTTGTCACTGCATTGGATTCTTAGATTTATTGGAATCTTTGAGCTGGAATAAAATAGGAGACTGTATACACAGCGAAGATGTGAGCTTCTATTTATTCAATAAAAGTGACATGGTATCTTGCATACCATTTGGTTCCGTCTTCCCAGTCCGTGAAAAGAATAATTTGCTCGTGAACACCTTCAGAATCTGTTTCTTTCCAATCATATCTTTTCATTTCGAGACCGGAAAAAGAATTCATAGCCTGGCATCTTGCTTTGAATCTCAGTTTTCGCCCTTGAATTCATTACTCTATTGTGTTACATGTATAAAACATAAAATAGTAATCATATAAACAGTGACCTTCACGAGTAATAGAGAGACGCTTTATGTATTTTCTTGTCCCGTCAGATTGTTTTGCTTTCCAATTATCATAATTGAGTGTTGTGTTTCCAACAGTTAAATTCTTGTTATCCGCTGCAACCTGTAAATAATGATGGTTTTCTTTGATCTTTAAATAATATATAATATCAACCTTTAGGGTAAATTCTTTCAATCCACTTTGAAAAGCTTTCATCATAAGCTCAAAAGCCGTTTTATCAGCCCATTGTTTTCCACCGTGCTTCTCACTTTTATCATCGTCAGTAAAATGACCAAAACAACTTTTTTAGCTTTAAGAATCGAGAATGATAAGTCTTTGTTACGTAGATAATAAAACATTCCCGTATTTTTGAGCAATCTCAAGCTCTTTTAAATGCAAGACGAAATTCGACTGAATATTGGCAGGCTTCGGACAGGGTTTGAAATCTGGAAATTGAAATTTTTCCATATTGACCTCCTTAAATTAAAAATCAAGGAACGGCCCAAAAATTCCACCCGCGCAGCCTCAAGTTTGACTTATTAGTTATAACCGCTTATTGAACCTGTCAATTTGAGTCGTTACGACTGTGAGCACGTCTAAATGTGAGCTATGAGCACGTGCTCACGTGCTCATGAGCACGAAATTTGCCCTTCCAGAGATTCATGAGCATGAGCTCGCTTGAGCACGACTGTTCTCTATAATCGGTGAGCATGAGCACGCGTGAGCACGAGGGGTCCAAAATTTTGTGAGCATGAGCACGCGTGAGCATGCTTATCGAGCTCACTTACGTGCTCACGTGCTCGTGAGCTTGTCAGATTTCAAACCCTGGCTTCGGATTCGCCTGAACTTGGTTGACAGTGTTAAAATTGGCTTTTTGCATTTCATTTTCTAATATTTTCTCCTCAAGGGATTTTTCTAGCTGGTTCACTTTAAGTCCAAGGTTTTCAACGGTATTCTCAAGCTCAGCAATCCGTTTTTTAAAACCAGTATTTTCTATAAGCGCATCGGAAAGGGTGATCTTCAGCATTTGTACTTCCCCCATGACTTTATCGGACCCAGTTCTCATTTCCGATCGTAATTTTTCTGAAGTTTCAAAAATTTTCAATCGGTATAAATCTTCTTACCAACTAAAGATGAAAAAGATACGATTGTTTCGTCCGAAAAAATACTTTCGCTGACATCTGAGGATTTTTCAGACATTTTCGGCGCGTCTCTCAAAATTGCAAGCGGCTCTACTTTTAACGCGATTTAAAGCAAAAGAAAAATGATATAAAATTTTTTAATATGTATCTTTCCAATTGTAAAAAAGATAATTAAATCTGTAACTTTGGGAAAAAATGAAGTTTATGAGATAATTTAAAATGAAATCATGAAAATTTAAATTTCATATTTAAATACAATATGTACATGTCTAGTTTCGACAAAAAATGTTCGAAAACATGTATAATGATCAATGAATTTTAAGGCAGCTCCCGTTTCGCCCAAAATCCCGGATCGCCCACATCCCGGATCGCCCATTTTCCTGGATCGCCCATTGTGGGCAAAACGGGAAAATGTGCGAATCAGGAAAATGTGCGATTCAGGATTGGGCAGAACGGGATTTACAAAATTAGAAAAGGAACTCTTTATCCCTGAGTCAGGGGTCTAAATTCGCAGTGCGAATTCGCTTTATTGCGAAGTAGGCCTGAGCACCTTATTTGAAAGATAAGAGCTTGAACTCTCTCAGAGGCTTCGGGACCTTAGTTTGGGTCTTATAATTCCGCAAAAATACATTTTAGGGTTTTCCTTCAGGCGTTAGAGATGGTCCCCTTATGTATCACAAACCTTTGTGAACTTACCCTTTTATATCGACGTTTTTATAAGTGTCAAATTTTTCTAAACCAATGAATTCTATTATTTTTGAAATAAAAATTTTTACCTACAAAAATTTTCGCTTTTTTCGCAATTTTAAAGAAATTTTCGCTTCGCTTTCGCTGCGTACTGGAAGTTCAAATTCGCTTCGCTTTCGCTTCGTAAAAAATTTGAAAAATATGTTTAGCTTTCGCACCGGGTTTTTGGCTGATAATTAGACCCCTGCCTGAGTATTATATCTTTTCTTCTTTCAAATAAAATCATAACTCGGTCAAATCTTCTTTGGAATGTCCGATTTCCAAAGATCAATTTCGATCGATTATCAAATTTCAAATTTACAATTGCAAATCCTGGTTTGCACACAAATCCCGTTCCGCACATTTTCCCGTTTTGCCCACAATGGGCGATCCAGGAAAATGGGCGATCCGGGATGTGGGCGATCCGGGAATTTGGGCAAAACAGGCGCTGCCAATTTTTAATGACCTCCCCAATTCTGTGATGGCGATTTTTTCCAAGAAAAAGTCAGCGAGACTTTTCCAATTGAAAAGAGACTTTTGCAGAATGGGCAAATATTAAAACTGGGGAATAAATGATCCGTTTTGGCATGAATATCAGCTGAATAAAGCCGCCGCGTTTTTATACCTTGCTCGAGCTCTTGAAGTCGAGCATTCAACTAGCGGCGCCGTGAATCAGCCAATATTGAGATTCGAGAATTTTTGCAACACAGATTGACTTTTATCTGAAAAAAGAAAGAGAGAGAAGCAGAGATTTTTCGGAGTCTTTTTGTTAATTAAGATCTGCAGATATGGTAATCTAAATTTAATCAAATCATGAGCTAAGCAAGCTTAGCTAGTGTAGAAACTGAACTGAGAAGTTTTTTCAAAGCTAAGCTGGCTTAGTTGTTCAAGTAGAATTGCCAAAATTTTTAAAATTTGTGCTTGGCTAAGATAGCTTAGCTGCCGAGAGAATAAATATGCTCAGTTAGCATAGCTTTGCAGCTTTGCTTAGCTGAGCCAAAGTTTTTGAACTCTAGCTGAGCTAAGCTAAGCTTCTCTAATTTCTATAAAAGCTAATAGCTTAGCTAGAGTACAATAACTTTGGCTCAGCTAAGCTTAGCTGCGCAAAATTTTTATCTTTAGCCATTTTACAACCCTACTTACAGGTCCACGCTCGGGCGAAATACGATGGCAACTGCGCAATCGAAGTGGCAAAACTGGAACGGATCCCACAAAAATGAAAAAAGCCAGCCTTTTCTCCGTTACGTAATTTCTCCCATGAGAAACTCAATTTTTCGTTTTCCAAAACACGGTTTTTTTGTAACGAACACAAGCCGAGCTAATGATGACAAGTTTTTGTTTTTCTGATCTGTCTCGATTTTAAAATGAGTCAGAGTTCTAGCGTGATTTCGAAATTTACGAATTTTCAAAAGTAAAAATCCCGAAAGCCGCTCGCGGCTTATTAGCCGTCAAAATCCTGGAAATCTTATTTTTGAAAGAATATTTATTTTCAAAATTAAGGAATTTCTAGTTTTTTAAAGCCGCAAGCATAAAAATTTTATATTATTCGTAAGAAATTGCGGTTTTTATTTTTGTCTTTCTGTCTCGACGAAAAACGAGTTAATCCTTTTTGTTTTCGCTAACTTCGAAATTTCGGCGCTCAAGTGAAAAATTTCGAAAAAGCGGAATTCGAGATTTTGTTGCTCCCTCCACATATGCTGCTTGTCATGTAGGAATCTTCTGAAATCTGAAAATGTGGCATCCGCGATAATTAGGTCGTGGAGGAAGCCAGCTTACGGCTTCAGACTGCTTCTTGGAATGGATGCGCAACTCTCACGTTTCAGGAAACTAGAAAGCGGGAAACTGGAAACTCAAGATTTTCTTATCGATAATTGAGATGGAGCGGCGTTTTTTATCGGAAAAAGGGGCAATTAGTTAAATAAGGTTGAAAACATAAAAATAATAAGCTATATTTACATTTAATCAATATTTAAAAAAACTTCTTTGATAAAAAAGCCCCGCGCGGCTTCGAGAAAAAGACCGAAAAAGTCATAATACCGGAAACTTTATGACTTTAAAATTCCAGAGAAAAACATATTTTCTGCAATAATTTTTAGCCGCACGCGGCTTCTGACAAAAATATAACTTGGAAAGGCAGCATGCGGCTTTTTTATAAAAAATATTTGATATTCAAATGGTGAAATCTTAATTTAAATGAAAAGCCGCAAGCGGCTTTTATAATTCACTTGCGGCTTTTTTATTTTTCCATGTTTTTTCAATATATTTCATTAAAAATGCCCCAAGCAATAAAATTTAGGGCATCTAAAATGTTCCAATTTTTTCTTTTATTCCGATTTTAATCATTCTGGTGGTTCACTTTATCTTTTTTTCAGCATCAATTTAGAGCGCGAATGAAACCTCAATTAAAAATTTGAGTTCCGCGATAAGTCACCGATCTCGGAAGCGCGGAAGTGTCACGGGTCGCGGCTCGATCCACTCAGAAAAAGAAAGGTTCACCGCGCGGCCGTGCTCGTAATGATCGCCGCCGCGGCTCGATTTGAAAATTCCAGCGGAAATGTTCGCGCTTCTATCCGAATTCCAGCCTCCTCACACGTTCTATAACACTTCGCGTAATCAACCGAATTTGTCGAAATTAGTTTTAAAAGTCCCTGCTTTCTCAGCCTCACGTGAGTCGAGTTTACGCATCCAATTACAGTTCCAACGCGCAGATTGGAGTCATCCAAGTCAAATCGACGCAGGAATTTTTGCTCAAAATTTATTCAAAACATTCTTGTTTGACAAATTTAATAATTAAGTTCAAATATTAAAAATAAAATTGAGCATGGAAAAAGATTGACCGACCAAACTCGCCGATTGAATTCGAACTTGATGTCATTGGACGAGAAGATCACGTGAGTATTTGTTCTAAAATAGATTTGAAAATAAGAGCCGCTTGCGGCTTTCAAAACCTGGCTTCGGCAACTTGTGTAGAAAACCTGACTAAGGTTCTAAAGAGCTAAAATGAAAAGCCGCGTAGCGGCTTTTTAAAAACGAAGCCGCACAGCGGCTTCGCAATACAATCACTTTAATGTTCATTTAAATACTGGCGAAGCCGCTTTGCGGCTTCGTTTTCAAGAAAGCCGCTACGCGGCTTTTAATTTTTGCCTTTCAGAACCTGAGTCAGGTTTTCTACAGTCACGTTGCCGAGCTCAGTTCAAAACAATAGACGCAGAAAGCCGCTTGCGGTTTTTTATTAAAAAACTTATAATCTTATTCAAAATAGAAAATGCGAAAAGCCGAAGTCGGCTTTTTTTATCAAAAAATCAACAGAAAGAGCCCTTATTATAAAAATAAATTCTATTGAAAAGCCGCAAGCGGCTTTTTTATTACATTCGACTAAAAAGCCGCTTGCTGCTTTTTAACTTGAAAGCCGCGAACGGCTTTTTTTCGCTTTTTTGATCATTTTTTACTGCCAAATTCTAAGTCCAAATTGGACATTTAAATTTGCCGCAGCTGTTTTGTTTTTTTTTTTGAATTGTTATTTTTGCGATTTTCTGCAGTTTGATCGGATTCTGGGTAGTCATCCGGCTTTGGCCTATCTTGTCGAGGAATGTCTTCTCCAGCTGTTTACGGCTTTATCTGTTGCAAAATTGCTTTGTCCATGCTCCTCGGAACCACCGATCTCTAAGAAGCATGGAACCTGATCTATCTTTTTAGCAACACGATTTCGGCCAAGCAAGGGAGAACGAACACGTAATCGCTGAGCCAGGAAAATGTTATTTGATAAATTTGTTATTTTCAAGGGAAATAATGAATTTTACGCTAGATGGCGCTATTTAAGAAAGAGCGCCGAAAAGAATACTTCTTTTTGATTGGCTACGAGATTTTATTTTATTTGACTTTTTAAACCAATCAAAAAGGCGTATTTTGCCGTTCTTCAATAAATAGCGCCATATTTAAAAATCGCAATCTACGGTACATAATATACCTCTTTTGATTGGCTAAGATAATTTTTCACTTTATTTATTCTAACCAATTAGAAGCGAGTACTTCGGCGTCCTCCATAAAACAGCGTTATCTATAAAAATACCGCTTTTTTATTGGCTTAGACAAGATTTTGACTATTTTATGATTCAGCCAATCAGAGCGATTTATTTTAGCGCTCTTTTTGGACAGCGCCATCTAATGCATAAATCTATTCACCTAAAATAATCCTCAAAAATGCCTACGATTTGAAACAGAGCGGATCAAGTAACTCGTAAATAGTTTCAAAGGACGTGGAGCCAGATCATCCGGAAGAGTCGGCTGAGCCGGATAACGTCGCGAATGAAGAAGGCGAAAGGAATGTTCCAGACGCATTTCGATCGGAAATCCAGCGGTCGAGATCTTCTTCTCCTTCCTCAAATGCTTCTTCGAGCTCTTCTAGTTCTTCCAAATATTCCGAATCTTCTGATCGCGCTCAGGTAAGATTAAATTTGAAATTGTGAAAAAAGATCTTCAGCGAAAATCGATCGACGCCGCTTTTCCCGGAGAAGTAGTTTCTGACGAAGATGGTCACATGTTTGCACCTTCCTTCGGCGAAGAAGAAGCGGCTTCTGATGCGGAACCGAGCGACAAAGTGTCGCACGATGTCGCGTTCAAACCACGTCTCCTCGTTGGTAAGTTACCTCAGCTTTTTCCGCTACGGGAATTCCAACCGCCGATCAAGCAATCGCGGTTCTTTCGAAGAAGAACACCCGCGTCCGCGCTTTTTCCGCGTTCAAAAATTACATCGATTCGAACTTTTGAACAAAAAATTTTAAGAAAAAGAAGAAAATCAAGAAGAACCAAGAAATCAGGAAAGACAATTTTCCCCGAAACCAGAAAAGTAAGAATTTTTTCAAAAGAAATTCAAAACCCGCCAAAACTCAGATTTTGAATTTTTCCGTGATTTTGATTGGCCAATAGGTTTTTTCAAAATTATGAAAAAATATGGAAATTTTCGTTTTCAGACAAAACAGCCGCGAGCGGCTATCATTGCAAAATATTTCGAGTCAAAAATTTTGACTGATGTTTACCATTTCTTATTGGCTGATTTTTCTTTAAAAAAACAATCAAATTGATTCAAAATGACATTTTTTCATCAAATAATTTAATTTCAAACGGACAATTTTTTTTTATCAAAGCCGCTCGCGGCTAATTCAACGGGCAAAATCCTGCGCCCAATTTTTCGAACACCTGAGTACGTGTCCAGCTTGATGACTCTCTAAAAAGTGGCTGGAGCGCATAATCGCTTGAGCTGCTCTGATCATGGATCCTTCCACTAATTCGATTCTGACTTACTGGCTTAGTTGAATTCAAGCTCTCTTTTTCTGAATTTCCGTTTTCCAAGCTTTCAAGGCTCCTTCCACGTGACCGTATTTAATTTTTAAATTCTAGTGCTGGAGAAAATGACGAGCCAATCAGCGAATTGACTACTATCACCAGGTAAGATAACGAAAAAAAGTTTTTTGAAAAATTTTTGTTAATTTTCGCGGAATTTCGAAAAAATGAATAAAAAGAGCTGTTCACGATTAGAACACTCTGAGCTTGTTCTTTGGTAGATTCCGGACGCTGCTCGGGCTGAATAAGGCGGAGGCGAAAAACAGAACCCATTTCCGCCACAAAATTGCTGCCAGCTTTCAATTTAAGCCGTGTTCAACGAAGCTCTTTTTAGAAGATAATTAGACCCTTCAAATTCTTTTCGAAAAATAATCCTTCCTTCTCAAAAAACATGGGGAGAAAAAAATTCGTGTGGAAAACCTGAGTCAGGGTCCAACAGTAAAATATTCACCGAATATTTTTATCTGTGGTAGCCCTGACTCAGGTTTCGTTCAAGGGTTGTTGGACCCAATAAAACAGGGTTTGGCAACCTGTGTAAAAACCTGAGTCAGGATCTGAAAGATTTCTGATGAAGAGGCGGCTTTTTACGGGCAAAACCAAGAAAAGTGAGTGATTTTATGGATCTGGGTTTTCATTGGCCGTTAGGTCAAATGCAGCAAGCTTATTGGTCTTCCAAAAATGCACTTCTTTTTTTTTGGTTTGTGCCCTTTTTACTAATAATTCTCTTTTCAGTCACTTTTAGACCCTGACTCAGGTTTCTACACAGGTTGCCGAGGAACCTGGCAATTAAATCTCTTCAGAGAAAAAGTTAAATTCAATCATCATTATTACCAATTAAGCGCCAAATAAGACGTTCTAAGAGCTTTTCGTGAAACCCCATTAAGTTCGTATTTATATAAAAGCTTGCTTAATTTATCCAATTTTCAGATTTGATTTCGAAAAAAATGATTATTCACCGCTTCGTATTTCGCCACAAACTTACATTTAGTGCTCCATTACTATTTTTAGCGCGGCAAAACAAAACCCACGTTTCCGCGTTTTTTTTCCGAAATTCACTTAAAATGACTCGTCTCGTAAAGAGTAGCCCCCACTCGTCTAAGACTTTTCCTCATCTCAAAAAGGAGGGTCTGGCATTTCGCGAAAAATGACGTAAATTTCGCGGACTTGTCTAACCCAGCCCAAGTTAAACCAAATTGCACCCTACAAGTCCTTGCGGTTTCCAAATTGCCGGAATCACTTTGATTTTGGCAGACGATAAAATAGTTTAAAAGAAACCTCATCATAAAAGAGCTCATCTCTATTGGCTCATGTAAACAAAAAAGCGCCATCTATCGACGGCAAAAATGATTTTTTTTTCGTATTTAGCTTGAAATTCTAGTTTTAAAAGCTTTTTTTCTGGGTTTGGCGACCTGAGTACAAAACCAGAGTCAGGGTTCTCAAACAGCTTTATTTACCTGTTTCAGGACCCTGACTCAGGTTTTCTTTACAGGTTGCCAAGCCGAGAAGAAAGGTTTAAAACTTGAATTTCAAACCAAAAATGGCAAGAATCATCTTTGTCGTCGATAGGTGGCGCTTTTTTGTTTTTATCAGCCAATGAAAAGTTGTTTCTTTTTATTAGGTATCATTTTAAAATATTTTCTATTCCTTTCATTTATCCTTTTTTGAGCGATTTATTGATTCTTCAAACGTCAATTTCCGCTCCAAAACGTTTAAATTCGTTTATTCCGGAAACGCGCGGTAGAAATAATGCTCCGATCAAGGTATTTTTTCCAAAAACGTGGCTCTGCACACGTTCGGTTCAGCTACTGCATCATCTGGCAAAGGATCTGCGCTCTTATTCAACAATTCGAAACAAGGATTAGTTAAGTTGCCCAAACAAAAACCACCAACGTGAGGCGCATAAATTCGAAATGTAAATCTCGAGAGCAGTTTTCTGAAATACCGTGAGCACCGGCAATTCAGCTCTTTCCGCTCTTTGGTTCAGCGATTCGAGGGCCTAAAGGTTTTTGGGACAGATGATTTCGGAGTATTTTGACGAATAATTTGTGAAAGAGATAAGAAAGAAAATATTCAAATTATATTTCTTTGGAGAAAACCTGACTAAGGTCTGAAAGAACTGTATGATCTTGGCTCGGCAACCTGTGTAGAAATCCTGAGTCAGGGTCCGGCAGATCGCCAATGAAAACCCGAAATGCGGTTTTGATAAAACAAAGCCGCAAAGCTTTTCATACTACGCGGCTTGAGATCTGTCGGACCCTGACTCAGGTTTTTAACACAGGTTGCCGAGTCAGATTTTTTGCTCCCCTTTGCCCTCATTCTATGACGGCATTCGATTTTTCAAACCCTTTGGCAACCCAAAATTTCAGAAAAAAGGGTTTCCCCTAAAAGGGGATGGTGACTTGAATTTACAAAAAATTTCGACAAATTTTGGGTTGGCGGCTACTCGGCTGCTGATTGACTGGTTTACCGAATCCAGGCTTCTGATTGGTTGAAAATTTCCATGCAAAATTTGTCGAATTTTTTGTCGGTTCCACACACCTCCCCCAAAAGTAGCTTCAGATGAAATTTTTATTAATTTTGCTCAGTCACCATAAATTCAACTCTCCTGAGTTTGTTATTTTTTTTTTCGGGCGACTGTCAAAAGTATAAAATTCGCTTTTGCCTAAGAGCGTCTTAAAATGATGTTTGCGGAACATCAGTTGATAAGATTTGCTTTTCCGGCTCTGGACCCCGTTCTGAAGTATAAATGCATATCGAAGGAGGCGAATCCGATTCACCCAGGTGAACGAAAAATGACACGTGACTGACACGTTCCGACACACAAATTTCGAGCGAACTGATTCATTAAACAATTCCCTCAAGAATTTCATCAAACAATCCGTTACAGATCCGTTACAGTCATTTTTTTAACTGTCTTTATTTTTTATCGACGATGGATGGCGCTTTTTCGCAGCATTTCGGCCAATCAGATGGCTGGAAGTCTAATTCTCCGGAATTTCTATTATTTTAACGCTGTTTTCTTTCAGCCGTTCATTTTCGCCAGTTCCGGCTTTTGGCGGCTCCCTCAAACGACGCAAGACGGAAATCTCAGACGCGGAAGAACCGGAAACGAGCAATGTCGAATATGCCCGAATTCGACAAGTGCCCGAAGAGTCTAGCCCCCGACCGTTTGAAAGCAGTTTCATTACGCAGAAACAGCCTTACGAGATTGATGTCAATCGAGCCCTTCCGGCGGAGGAGACCAGTTTTATTCAAGCAAAGTTATTGAATTGAACATATTGCGCAATTTTATGATCTAAAGGGTTAGGTTTAAATATGGGGGTGTATCTCGTAAAATATTTTTTCAAAATGAGATATTTTGACGTTTAATTTATTCATGAAAATATAATTTTAGATTGTGTTCATTTTCTGAATTGATTCGAGTTTCTCTAATGACACCCTTAATTTTTTGAAAAATTTATTTCATAAATATGCCTTTTTAGGAGAAGGCAGCTAGAATCATCAATTTTCGTCCAACAATTTTGACCAAAATTTTTAGATAGTTTTCGACCAATCAGATTCCCTTATTTGGCCAGTAGGCCAATCAGATTTTAGATAAAGATTGCCGCGGAAATTCGAGATATTAGTCGGCTTGAAAACTCTCGATTCTCGTCGCAATCTCTTTCAAGAATAAGAGTACATTAACACATAAAACTCGATAAATAAGGGTGTCATTGAATAAAAAATTAGCAAAAACGGATTTCAAAAAATGATCATTAAGGGGATCGATTCCCTTAGAAATGCCTTTTGAAAAGTTTTTTTTTTTTGTGAGCCAATATCTTACGAAATTTTTGCTAAACGCGCATTGCCTAAACAGCGAATTGCAAAAAAAGTAGAATCAATTTAGCGAAAAAAGGCCGCCTGGGCTGCGTTGCGCGCCGCGCGTTTGTCGTCAAATCCGCACTCGTGTTCACGTACGTCCTCTAAACCAACTCTTCTAAATCTTATCTTAATTAAATCATTGTATGGAGCATCAGCGCGGAGATGTTTTTTCTTTGATGTAATCAGACCAGCTTTTGTACCCACAAATTTGTTCAAAGCGAACTTTCTTTCGTATTCACTCGTATTTTTTCAAAACTTTCAAAAAAGAAGCATCTTCGACTTTACCGAGGGGTAACTCCTTAAGCCCAATTCTCGATACATCCTCGGCTGAGATCAGAAAATCTCCAGAAACAATCAAACCTTCGGTGAAGTTTTCAACTCCTCCAAAACTCAGCAGCTCTTCAAACAGTAGCTCAAGCGACAGTAGCTCTTCTGATGAAGAGAGAGATTCGCCTGCGATTGAAAATGCGAAAGGAATTGGACCGGTGGAGACGGATGTTATGGAAACTGAACCAAAAGGAAAGGGTTGACTTCAGAGAAAATATGGAAGAATTTTTTTCAATTTCATGATCATTTTTATTTACAGAATCAAAAAGGTTCTTAGAATCAGTTTTTGAGTGAAATATTCCAGCGGACATAAGTTGTCGACCAGTCGTTTTCTCCTTTGAGTCTGACCATTCCGTCTTGCTCCGGCGTCAACTTCTTCGCCGAGTTTCTGCTCTTCCCATTTTTCCAGTAAATATCGTCCGCGTCGGCTTGAAAGTCGACGCGTTTTCCTAAAAAATAAAAATCTCAAACTCAAAAATCGATACCGTTGAAAAAAATCCAAATTTTCCAGAAGCCGTCGCCGCCGTCTCTTTCTTTCCACGATTGATGTCGGATTGTCCAGCCAGCTTCCGACACTTCTAAATTTTTCCAGGAACAAAACTTTATTTTGGATGAAAATCGCGTCGAAACAAAAATCAAAAAACTTAAAAATGCGATTTAATCCGATTCCTTCAAATTGATATTTCGCACGCCGCCGTTGTTGATTGCTTTTAGAATGCTTCGGACATCAGTCTCTGAGTGTTCCCTTCGAACTTTTCTGCAGTCCAAACCAAAGTAATGCCCAATTCCAAATTTCCACAGATTTTCGAGTTTATCTTGAAGGCATGCTTTTTTTTTTTTCTCATAGTCAATTTCTCTGTTCAAATGTTTCACGACGATCTCCAGTGTCTCGACTCGATTTTTTTCAAATTCCAAACAATAAGGCGAAATCCCATTAATGAGCTGTTCAGTCAAACTGTAAAGAGCTGGATGTTTCATCAACGCCGATGCGCTCTCTGCTCGTTCGCTGATTTCAGGAACAAGGCATTGCTTGATCAAACTCTCTATTTTTGGAAACCCAACTTCAGCTGGCATTCGACGATTTTTGACGATGTTCATCATTGTCTCAAAAGAATTCTTGCCCGCGAAGGGGTGTCTTTCCCCGATTTTTCAAAGTATCGAATTTAAATTCAAGAAAAATCTTCAAAAATCGGTCCTGAAAGTGCAAAGCATTTGAAAAATGATTCCAAGGCCCCACATGTCTCTTCGAAAGCATAGTTTCTCACTGTCAGGATTTTGAATTGCTTCTGGTGGCAAATATTCCGATGTTCCAGCAACTCCTGTTGTCTGCGTTCCCTCTGCTGCCCGAGAAATATTGAAGTCGCCTAGCTTCGCCTTAAGAAATGAATCAACTTCGCGGTTCAATTGATCTTACAAACCGTTTTTCCCGACAAAAGAACATTTTCAGGCTTGACATCTCGGTGAATGATATTTTTATCATGAATGTGATCTTAAAAAGAATATGTTCTGATATTTTTCCATTATTAACCAACCTAAAGCACAAACAAGTTGTGCGGAAACGGTCAGTCCAAATTTTTCATTTTCTGTAAATTCGTTTGGTTCTGATTGATCCTCTTCTTCGATTTCTTCTTCTGAGTAACAAACAGTATAAATATTTTTGAATAGTGGATTTGAATACCTCCATTGAGCTTTTTCTTGCAATAGTCCGCCAAATTTCCGTCCTCCATATATTCAAAAATCAACGCGTGATACGGAAAATTATCAGAACTCGTGAATTCAAAATCGTCGTAGAGTTTTATCACATTTGGGTGGTCTTCAATAGGGTTCAATTTAAAAGTCTGATATTTAATTTTCAATTTGTTAAAGAAGGTGTCTATGAACCCGTTCCAAGTTGTTTAAGAAGATCAACTTCGAGTTTTGCTTCTTCGCGCTCTTTTTCTCCGTAAAGAAAAATTCCCTTTAGCATTTTTTTAACTGGCCTTTGTTGCAGCGTTTTTTTCTCGTCGTCCAAATAAGACTCCTCTGAATCATAAAATAAAAGGTATTCTCTAAAAAAAGTCTCCTACTTTCTTGCAAGTCCCCAACAAGCAGATAAATTTTCCCATCTCTAGGCGGCTTTATCTCTTCTATCACTTTGTAGCGATCATTTATGACCGTCCCGATCATCGCCATTCTCGATTCCTAGTCTCAAGAAGAACTCACTTGTAAAAATGGTGCGAGGGGGTGTCGTTTTTCTATTTGCATCTCTGAGCAAATATGCGCAAAATCCCGACAAGCCGTAAAGAAAATTTTTAACATTTCAGATTATAATCGATGAAAAATTAATTTGAAATCTAACCTCAAAGCAGTTTTTACTGTATAAAAAGTCAACTCTGAACAGTAAACATTTCCGTGCGCCACCCGGGCCCTATTGTCACTTCCTCCAACACTCCCCTGTTCGCGTCTGAACCGTCTTCATTTGTCGAAAAACCAGTGTCGGAAATGCTTCAACAAGAACCTTCTTCCCGGCGAGGATCTCGAGGCCGGGAAATTGACTCTCAGGAAGGGGAAATAAAATTGCGAAATTTCATTCTATTTTCACCCCCGAATTATTCTGAGAATAAAATTAAGGGAGTCACAGTCTTAAAACCAAATCATCGTTTTTTTCTCGAGTAAACGTTGTGATACCCTTATTTTTTATTTACAAAAATTGAATCATATAATGGGTTTCTTCTGGTTTTATTTGAGTTAACGAAGAGATACCTTTAATTTTAAAAAATGCTATAAAAAATAAGATTTATTAAGGACCCCCTCGTCAGCTCTTTCCTTCGAAAAATGGAAATTTTTAAAAACACCATATTTTTGGTTTTAAATGCGTCCTTAGGTTAAACTTGCTACAAAAACGTGATAAGAGGAAGTTTTGACCAGGAAAAATCAATATTTCTGCCAAAATTGGGGCAAATTTGTCAATTTTTGGCGAAAAGTCCAATTTTCAAACGCAATTTTGAGGGTGTTAGAGTCGAGATAGACCCCCAAAAAATAAGGCCTCAAAATCGTTTTTTGACCTGTAGAATCCATTTCCGGGGTCAAAATTTTAAAATTCCAAAATTTGATTTTTCGAAAAAAGCTGACGGGGGGTCCTTAAAGCCTTAAAAATTTATCGAAAAAATAAAAAAAGGGTCTTTTTTTGAAATTTCTTTCAAAAAAAGAGGAAAACAGATACCATGAAGTTTAACTCTTAGTGGAGAAAGCCCCTGGCCCTCTTTCCCGTACCCCGCGCAAATTACTTTCGGGGAAGTCTAGAAAATTTCTTTAACGCATGCACGGCGGCTAAGAGCAGTCTCGAGATTCTGAAGAACAGAATCTGGAAAGCCTGACCCAATCAGAGAGCCGACAAGGTTTTTTGCGATGACTAGCTGCTCTTGCCGCGAAATTGCGCGCGCTCCACATTGAGCGACTCTCAGGGCCAGGGTCGCTCAGATTCTCCTATCTCCACTTAGAGCTCAACTCCATGGTAATTTCGATAGTTTTTTTTATCTCCCAAAAAGCCATCTTACGAACCGATTCGAAAAGAGTCCGAGGGAACTCGAAATTTCCTCGTTTCTGGCTCCCCCTCTTCTCGCCGAAGCTCCCGTGGTCGGGAAATTGACCCAGAGGAATGGAAAACACTATTTTTAAAAACGTCCTAAAATGACGGTTTCTTGGATCTTTAATGATTTCCTTTGGAGTCATCAGTCCCGGCGGCGCGCTGGAACGTCCGGCCGGGAGCGGAACTGCCGCTCGATGCTGGATCGTCAGAGGAGGCTTCGCTCAAGAATGAAGCGCTCGAAAAGGTAGCGAAAAAACGTATCAGCCCGGAACTGCGAATTGCTCCCGGCTCAGTTTTACGTGTTGATCCGGATCGAGTTATGGACGTGACTGCTGATTCGCTGCCGATTGTTCAGGAGAGTGTTTTCGAGATGATTTGTTTTGGAACAATTTTCAAAACGTTGAAAAACGTTTAAAATAGAAGCCGTTTATTTTCACTTTCTTTATCCAGATCTCTAATTGAGCAGTTCTTCGCAATTACAGATTTGCCGATTTGAATTGATCAACAAATCATTAAGGGCCCGCCCTTTCAAAACAGCAATCAAAAAACCTGCCATTCAGAGCTTCTTTTGAACATTCAATTTTCTCGCAAGTATTTCTATTTCGAGAATTTTGGAATTGAACTCGCGAGATGGCGCTGTTTCGAAAATATCGCCACCTTCTCATTTCTACCAATTTCTGATTGGCCAAAATCAAAGATCTAGAATCGACTTGAAGCGATACTTTTCAAGCAAGAAAATTTTGAGCAAAAAGCAATTGACTTCTGATTGGCTCAGAATCCGCAGACAGCAATTTGATTCGATGAAAGTTTTTTGAAAATATTTCGTTCAAAAATTGTCCATTGCTGGGTCTTTCCAAAAAATTGACAGGTGGCGCTGTTCTTTAAACTGCGCCGTCTTTCCTTAAAATCTGATTTCTTATTGGCTACGATCGGAAATCGTGGTTAAATCGCTGAAATTGCTCTATTTATGATCAAAAGAAAATTTAAAAAAAGATCGTATTTTTCATTGAAAGACTTTTTATAAAAAATATATTTTGAAAACAGAAAAAAAGCCACGTGAAACGGAAAAACAGTCCGGGCGAGCAGTATCTTCCGAGGAGGAAAGAGACGCGCCCTTGTCGCCATCTGGTAGGAGAGACGTTTTTCCAACTTATTTAGAGTTCTAAAACGTAAAATAGAATCGCGCTGTGTCTTTTAAGTAACAATATGGATTTCCTATTGTTTAATGTCATCTAAAAAGCGGCATCAAAAAGAAAGCTGCAAATTGCTTTTTTTCGAAATTGCTGTTTCGAAATTAGGAGTTAAGAAAAGTCATTTTTGAACTCGTTTTTTCATCATCTTCAAGAACGAAAACTGCGGAATATTTCGCGAAGCAGCTCTCGTGGAACTCTCGGAAGTCAGAACTCGATCGATTTGGACGGAGCAGAAAAACGGTACTTTCTTTGAGAAGAGCAGCATCTTAAATTCAAAATTTTTTGATCCAAGATTGTCAAAAAAGCTTCGGAAAAAAGGGCCAAAGATCACCTGATCCTTTGAATTTAGTGCGGAATGAACCAATCAGACTGAGAAATCGATGTTGGCCAAGCTGACTTTTTTCAGGAAAATATCGAACTTAGCAAAGCTGAGCCAAATTTGCAAAATTTCTTAGCTGAGCTGAGCTCAATTTTGCTGAAAAAAATCAACTTAGCCGAGCTCGGTTCTGGCCTTAGTTAGCTTAGCCCAGCAAAAATAGATTTCTAGGCTGAGTCGGGATAATGATTCAGCTGAGCCTTGCTTCTTTTTGTCTAAAACTTGCTTAGCCAAGCTTAGCCCGGCTAAATTTTGAGCTAAGCCTGCTGATTTTTGTCAATTCTAAATCTGAAATCTTGGGTTCTTTTTTTGATGTTTTGATCGACAATTTTGGACCTATCGATATCAATTTTCGATTAACAATTTTGTTGATAGTCTTAAAAAGAGTGTTCCTGGTAAAAAAAGAAAAGCTTCTTGTAAAATTGTTTTGAGCAAAGTATTTTGCTTCAAAGTGAAACTTTTTGTTCTACAATTTTGAATACTTGTGAAAAACAGCGAAAGTTTTGTTTTTCGCGCCTGTTAACGATTCTTAAGATCGCGGAAAAGCTCGTTGGACAACGTTAATCAGGAACGAAGAGACTCTGATGGCACTAGAAACTTCCTCGTTGCTGGAAAACCGCCGGTGAAAGAAGTGAAGCCAGGTAAGAAAACTGAAGTTGTCAATTTGTCAATTTTTCTGTACTTTTTTTCGAGAAGAAGAACTTTAGTCGAACGTGAGGACAGGTGCATGTCGGGGATAAGCCTGGAGTAATCCACTCGCATATTCGACAGGCTACATAAACCCACCGGATACAATAATGTCAATATCCACAAAATATTTTTTTTCTCTAAAAGGGAAACTCCCTGACTATTCACGTTTCTTCTGATAATTGATGAACGATGAGCAAAAATGTTTTGTCAAAAAACTGTTCTTTATTAAGGACCCCCCCTTTTTTGTCCGATTTTTCAAACAGCATTTTCTATCCGTATACCCTTAAGGGCCCCGAAAATTAAGGTATGTAAATGTAGCCCTAGAAGAATTCTAGAGTTAAAATAAATTAGTCTTGGGATACCCTTAAGCTATCACCTTCAAATTGTCCAAAACAGTGATAATATGCAGACACCCTTAAATTTAAAAAAAATCGTTTTATAAGTCATTTTCCTGAAATCAACCAACCCGCTGATTTTAAGCTAGGGGTCAAAGAATACAGTAAGGATCTTGTTGCCGAAAAAACCCTCTCTAAAAATTCGCCCCGGAGATCCTGTTTATACACAACTGGCCCGATAAAGCGCCAACTAATGTAAGCACTTTTTATACAGTACCTTCGAAAACCCCCGGGAAAGCAGTATTTATCGCTAGTGAAAACAGGGGAAGTTACGGTAAAGTGATAAAATAAATATATAAAAAGAGTATCGCCACGTGTAGAACATACCAAGATCTTGGTGTTACTGGTCAAAGATAGCGACCGAGGGAGCGAGGTATCGTCAGCCGAAAATTGTAGCCTAAACACTGATTTTTATCGGACTCAGAATGCTCCTAGGTGGAGGCGAATCGGTACAGCAAAAATATTCATGGAACATTGGGAGATGAAATTCGACAAATTTTGCGTGAAAATTTTGAGCCAATCAGAAGCCCAGATTCGGCTAACCGGCCAATCAGCAGCCAAGTAGCCCCCCACGCAGAATTTGTCGAATTTTTTGTCGGTTCCTGGCACCACCCCCGGAAACCTGTGTAGAAAACCTGAGTCAGGCTCTCAAAGAGACGCTTTTAAGTTGAGCTCTTGCAAAGCCTGACTCAGGTTTTCTTCATAGGTTGCCGAGCCTAGTTCAAAATTCTTTAGAAAAAATAATTAAGGGAGGAACCTTAATTTCCTTCTTTATTCTTATCAGCATTTTTTTCAATATCAGTTGATAAAATACGCTGTCTACGTAAACGAAGATCGATAAGGATCTGTAATCCTGTAATTGGTCAATAAATCTCGTGGTTCAATAAAGCGTGTGCTTCTAAATTCCGACTCTTGACTTTTTCGTCCGTGGACCGGCTCAAAATCCGTCTCGCGCTTGTCTCGATTTCGGATTATAGAACCTTTAAAATTAAAGAAATCGGCGGCTATTTTTGGCTTTCTCAAAATTCGACTTCATCCTATTTCGATATTCAGTAGCTGGGCTCGACAACCTGTGTAGAAAACCTGACTCAGGCTTCGAAAAAACCTGCGTGGTTTTTTTCAGCCACTGACTCAGGCTTTCTATACAGGTTTTCGAGCCCAGATGCAGTAGCTCATCGAGAAACACGGATTCAAAGACCTATTTCTATTTTTAAGGACCCCCATCATTTTTCGTAATTTTTGATGGGGGTCCTTAATCAAAAAATATTCGTGAGTCAGAATTCGTGATTCAAATGAAAATCACTAAAATTGCCCTTGCATAATTTTCTCCTTGCTGGCTGAAATATCAAACTATCTCTTCTTCCGGTTGTTACTCCCTTAACGAACAGGTTTTGTGCGACGCGGCTCCGCGAAACTGACACTTTTTGAGTCTCCTTTTCCGGCTCAATTTTGGCGGGAAAGTCAGAAAGTGGCGATTTGTTTTAAAAACTACAGGAAAGCTTAAGGGAGGAGCTCCATCGAATCCTGAAAACGGGAACAGCTTTAGTGGTTCCCTGGAGCTGATGTGATCCATTAGTGAGTAGATTAGATGGTCGCCCGAAGAATGCGGCAATCCCCTCACGGTTCCAAGTTCCGGCGGGAGACCGCAACTTCGGAATTGCAATTGTAACACAATTTTTTCAGAAAAATATTTTTCACTATGACAAAAATTGAAATAAATAACTAAAACTCACATTTTTATACGAAGAAAAATGAACCAATCAGATGGCATAATCAAGCGGTTTTACCAGAAAAGCGCCATCATGCGGGTGAGCTTCTGACCAATCAAAATAAGCTTTTGAAAAAAAAAATAACTTAAAATTTTTTTGACCAATCAGAGAGCAACAGATGGCGCTGTTTATTGAATAGCGCCACCAGCCGCTTATTTTTCATCCAATCAAAAAAATGAACACAAAAAAGTCGTTTTTGTAAAAAGAAAACGAAATTGATGGGCAAAAAACTATTCCAACGAGCAAAAGATGATCTTCTCCGAAAAATCCCCCGTCGCAATCATTTGTTATCTTTTCCCCTTCTTTGGCGGCTCGTCATGAACTTGAGCCCTTAAAATTACGGAGAAATCACTGAATTTCCACGCTCGTTATTTTGGATCATGCGCGGGGATCTAGACTCGCGCAGGCCCCTTATTATCCGATTTTCCGATTCTTGCTTAGGCAAGAAAAAAAATCATCGAGTTCGCAGGTCAAATCTTATTTTTCTCAAAAAACGAATATTTTGACATTGAATTGTGTCGCTGAGGGGGAAATAAGCTCACCGGCGGAAATAATTTCAATTCAGGTGGCTAAAAAATACGTCCGGGGCAACTTGCTAGTGTTTAGAGCTTTCTGGAACTTCCGGCAGACATGGGCGTTTCTAGCACTAGAAAAAAAAACTGAGTCAAATTTTAGAAAGTAGGACGCTTCTTTTTTTGGTTTTGAATCAATTATTTTTTCCATTGATTTTTTCCAACCCTTTTTCAAAAAAGCGAAAATCTTAATCGTATAAGAAAGCAATTCTGATGAATAGTTTCTCCACGGGGCTGGGGAAGCGAGATAAGACCGCGAGTTTTTGATTGATCTCGCAAGAGATGACATCGGCTCTAGCAGAACTACTTCTACAAGGCAAAATCTCGACAGTTCTGTCTGTGCATTTCCGCTGCACAGCCACAGCATGTCGAGATCAATTATCGAGTGAAGAAAATGTTACGCGGCGCTTTTTTTAGATTTTCATTTCTTTTCCTTTTGAAAATAGGAGAAAAATACAATTAAAAAACAAAGAACATAGTCCTGACTCGGAAACCTGTGAAAAAAACCTGACTCAGAGTCCTAAAACCGTTCAAATAAAAAGACGCGGAGCGGTTTTTCCAAAAAAATGTGGAAAAATTTTTAATCAATCAGATCACTGCTTTCGGCGGATAAGCCAATCAGATTCAAGGAAAAATTATCGCAAAAATTTGGGAGGTTTCTGCAACCGACAAAAAAAATTCGACAAATTTAGCGTGAAAATTTCCAACCAATCAGAAGTGTGTTGCTGGCTAACCGGCCAATCAGCAGCGGAGTAGCCGCCAGCGCAAAATTACTCGAAATTTATTTGTCGGTTCAAGACGCCACCGCAAAAATTTTCGTATTTTTGGGATCCTGAGTCAGGTTTTCTACACAAATATTGGCGAAAATTTCTTCCCATTTTTCGTCATAATTAGAAATAACAAAGCCCGTATTTAGCGCCATAAGTGCTGTGGAATTTTAGAAGCATGATACAACTTACAGAGCTAACCAATGGAACTCGCCATTACAACCCAACGTCTTTGATAAGCGCTTATCTGAGGCTGGTCTAATTATGGCTCGATAATTTTGCAAATGCAAATTTTCAAATTTTTAAGGTGAACATTTCGTACTTATTCGTTAAAAAAACATTTTTCTTTTCCAAGTCGAGTTCTAATTTTGGCGCTTTTTTCGGCTCAATTTAGGAAGATATTTATTTCGCCAAAAACAGTTCATAAAGAAGCTTATCTCGGCCCAGCTTCGCGGAAAAGCAGCTCATTTGTTTGAACCAAACGTATTCAAAGCTTGACGCTATCACTGAACTATCCAATCTGGCACTCTATTTTTTCAAACAAACTTTTACTTGACAAATTATGCAAATTGCGAACACGGTTCAACCTCTTTTTTTGCGGACTGGAAAGGGTCAAATAAACATTTTGATAAACCAAGTATCTTCATTTTTTGAAGTTCCGTAAATCGAAAAATTACTAGAAAGAATAATTTTTATCAGAATTCGAGATATTGGCCCTGATATTCGGGATAGCGGCGGGAATTGACTATTTTGGCCGATAATTTTGACAAAAAAATGAGACTTTTTCGAGCGACGATATGGTTTTTCAGAAACAGGTGAAAATCCTTAAAAATTAAGAATCAGGGATTCGGCGGCAATAGAGATCTTGTTCGAGAAGTGTTTACGAAAAGTGATGATACTCACAATTTGCCCTGACTGTTTGTGAACTGGAAGGGTCCAATTTTTTTTGCGAATAAAATGAGAATTTTTTCTTAAATTTTTTTTTATTTTTGAGTTTCTTAGAATCCGGCATTTGCAATTGAGTCGACAAATTTCCCGAAGTTGGTTTCATAAAAGTCTTTCTTCTTCTTTGGGCCGAAGTGTTTTGCGATGAATTTCTTAATTTTCTCGAGTGCCTCTTGTAGCTTCATTTCTTCATATTCTGGGGTGCCTGGTTCTGGTTTTGTTCTGCTCTCAATCCAAGGACCGTCTGAATGGTCTTGCGGTTCCGCCTCGATGAGGGCGCAGATGAAAGCCATGAACTCGATAAATTCATTGAAGGACATTTTTTCGTCGAGGCCCTCGACCAACACGGTCATGAGCGCATTAGAAATGTATTTGGAGGAAAACATGTCGTCCTTTTCTAAAGCTTGTTGTTGAAGAAAATTTAAGCACTTTGATAATTTACCTTGACCCATCATTTTCAAGAGCTCTTCTTTGGAAAGCATTTCGTCATCACCAGCGTGTTCGTTGAAGATCTCAATCATCGTCTTCGTCAAATCAACTATTTTTGCCATATTTGCGTTTCACTGAAGTGAATAAACTTTAGCGGAAACGCTCGATTTTATATGAAAAATGTTTCCAGTATTATTCACTATATCGCTCTTCAGTGGGGTGTTTCCATCAGCTTATACCATTTTTTAATCGATAAAGATGAACGCAAAAAAAATTCAGCAGGTACCGAATCTGACCGTTTCAGCGAGGCATTTATTTTTAAATGTGGTTCCAATGGGGCCACTTCTTGTGCTCGGAATCTAATTGCACGAATTTTTTTGGTCAGAATTTTATGAAGAATCTATTATATAAACCTTTCCGGTCATTGGGGTTATCCTAGGTAGTACCCTTAATTTTAAAAAGCAACAAAAAATCAATCCTTTTTTAATGAAATTGCTCCGTCTGGCAGTAAATTCGTTTCTCACTAGAATGGGGCTAGTTTGCTTTAAAAATGAGATTGAGTTGACCCGAAAATGAGCAGCAAAAAACACACGAATTAAAAAAAGCGAGGCGAAATTCAATTTTGCGACGTGCTGAGCTGGCACTAAACACACGTTCGAAGCTGTTATTTTCGCGGATTTTGCCACCGACAAGATCGCTGCAGAAAAAAATCGTGATTCGCGGGAAACTTGTTTTTTGGTGTTTTTTTGAAAATCGAACATGACTTCGAAAGGTTAAGATTGATTTCAGAAGCCATTATCGTCTCTTTTCGACAAGGCTCTTCTGAAAAGAGGCGTGTATTTATCCCCTGCCTCGATAAAAGCGTTTTTATCTCTGGCCCTGGTTGCGTTTAGAAGCGCTTTTCTCGGCTGCTATCTTATGTTCACTTAGTTGTGGCGATTACTCTATCAGGTTCATTTTTGATATTTTCAATCAACAAAAAGTACATCACGCCACCTCCGCCGCGAATGCCTTTTCTAAAAGGAAGCAGCCGCAAGTTTACCAAGCGGATAGCGCGAAGGTTTATTGAACTCCTAATCGCCTCTTTGTTACGATTTTATAACATAATCGTCTTTTTTTCGACAAGTTTCCAAAAAAACAAAAGTTATGAAGAAATTCGAATTGGGTTAAATCTTACATTCTGGGCTAAGAAACTTGTAAACAGGGTCAAACACAGGGTTTTTCCCCTAGGCTCAGCAACCTGTGCAGGAAACCTGAGTCAGGGTCCGGAAAGAGCTTTGATGAAAGCCGCTTAGAAAATAGCCCCAAAGCGGCTCTAAAAGAGTAAAAATAGAACAAGATTGAAATTTTGGCGAAGCCGCTTTATTCGTAGAAAAGCCGCTACGCGGCTTTCATGAAAGCTCTATCAGGACCCTGACTCAGGTTTTCTACACAGGTTGCCGAGGTAATGTAAAAGAGAAAAATATGTGGAAAAAGAGCTTTATTCTAAAGAATTTAAGGGTATCCATTCCTTATGCAAAAGATCAAGTTTTAAGTTCTTATAGGTTCAGTTCTTGTCTGTCTATTTAATTTTTGGATCTTGTATCTTTTAACAGCGAAAAGCGTATTACCCTTCGGTTTATTTTAGTGTCTGATTTTTGGCATTATTCAGCGGCTGTAACAAGTTTTGACATGGGCTTCGTTACGTTCGATCCATCGAAATTAAGAGATAATTTATACAAGGCCGAGAGGCGCGTTTATTTTTCCAAAAGTTGAAAAAGCAAGTAACGTTCCTAAATTTCTACTTTCAGAGGAAGCCGTCGTCCAGCTCCAGCCGGAGATCGAGCGCAAACAAATCGTAAGAAATCACAATTTCAAACGTAGCAGCTTCGTGTTCACGGAGCACGTGATTTTCGCGGAAAGAGTTATTTCGCGCAACGGAACGGTTCTCAGATGCCAACAAAATTGAATCAACAAAAATTGTATTCGTGAACTTTCTTGCCCAAAAAAATTATCTAAGATTTACTTTACTAAACAAGCACCTTTGTTCGGCTAGTTGTCAAGATTTCCTGAGTCAGGGTCCAAATAAGTTTGAATAAAAAGCCGCGTAGCGGCTTTTGAAAAAAGAAGCCGCGAAGCGGCTTTGGCACTTTCCGAGGCCGCTTTGCGGCTTTTTGTTTTGACTTTTTTGGACCCTGAGTCAGGATTTCTTCACAGGTATCCAGTAGAACGGCTTAAACCAACAAAAGGAAGTGCTTTTTTCGAAGACTAATAAACTTGCAGTATTCGGCCTACCGGCCAATCAAAATCAAGATTCGTAAAATCACTCCCTTTTCTTGGTTTTGCCTAGTTAAACGGGTTTCGGACCCAAATTTTGACATCCGAGTTTTATTAACTTTAATCTTGTGATACCCTTAATATGCAAATTTTAAAATTTTTTGATCAAAAATAACATTCTTGATAATGAAACCTCTAAGAAACAATAAGAGACATTTTTTGATAATGAAGGAGCCGCTACTATTTGAACTTATTTCATTAATAAGTTGATTTTGGTAATTGACTCCCACGGATACATCAATAAATATTTGTTGCAACAACGTGTAAGCCACTAACAATCATTCGTCCCGAGATTATTGAATGATTCAAGTCACTCATTTTCGATCCATAATTAACTCGTAAGCCAACAAAGTTTTCAAGCTCCGAAAAGCAAATTAACAAATGGGGTTTTCTTAGTTTTTCACATTCGATAATCAATGATTATTCTAGGGATACCCTTAATTAATACAACCGAGCTTTTTCTACATTCATTTTTGCGGGGGAAAAGGCACGAGTCGACGAAAAAATGCGACAATTTTGACCAAAATTTTAAGCTAATTTTGGACCAATCAGATGTCCGCATTCGGCTGGTCGACCAATCAGATGGCTGAAAAATTGAAAGAATCTGATTGGCCGACAAGCCGAGCGCAGACATCTGATTGGTCCAAAATTTGACTAAAATTTTGGTCAAAATTGTCGCATTTTAACCTAGAAAAGCCCCAAAAATCAACTAAAATCGCCGATTCCCCAAAAATCTCGCACTGCAGCTGTCCAAATCACTGTCACTCCACCACCTCAGTCCCAAAAACTCCTCCCTCTCGACCACGTGACCGGCGCCTTCTGCATGATCCGACAGATCAAAATTTCTACACTGAAAACCAACTCTCATCAAACTTAACTTCAAATCTGAAATTGATGCGACACTTGATCATTTCTAAATTCAAAAATCATTTTTCTCGAATGAACTTCGTTCTTGAAAAAAGCACTTGTTTTAATTTTTGTAATTGTTTCTCACAAGAGCTCTTTTTTCGTCTTTTTTTTTCGCTAGAAAAAGCTCTTAATTGGGTTGCCCCGAATCCCTCTTTTTTAATGATGTACCAAGAATATAAAAATAGATTTTGTTTTAGCTTCAATTATTTTGCTTACGTGAGGCCAAACAGGACTCGGAAAAGCATTAAACTAGCGACAAATCAGCCCAAAATAGATTTCCCATTCTTGTGAACACATAATTAGAACGCTTCTCTAAAACTGTAGAACAGTTTTTCAGCGATTTTGAGCTAACAAAGGAAAAAAATCGCCTCAAATGGAGCAAAATATTGCAAAAAATTTCCTCAAACAAATATTTGGCAAGAAAAAATAAGGGTATCACTATGTCTTGGCTCGAAAACCTGTGTAGAAAACCTGAGTCAGGGTCCTCGAAGCATAGCCGCTAAGCTTTTTCGGGACCCTGACTCAGGTTTTCAAGACAGCTTGCCGAGCCAAAACAAAGTGATACCCTTATTTTTTTCACCTCTTAACTTTTGTTTCAGGAAAATATTTAGCTTCTCTCTAAATAAAATAAGGGTGTCACTCTCTTATCTTAATGAAGACATTTTTTTTACTCGTTTACTCGTTTTTTTTTACTGACAGTAATACAGTATTATTTTCATGAATCCATCCACGACAAAATGTTTCATTGGTCCACTTTTTTCACGATGGATTTTCACCTTTTCAAATCATTACAATTTTAGTTTCAATAAGCCCCGAAAACCAAATTAGTCCAAAAAACGAGCACTTGTTCACAATTCTCGCTAGTAAATGCGTTTCGTCGCAACGTTTCGAGCCAAATCGTAATTCGAATTTCAGGCTCATCGGGGATCATCCTCCGAGCGTCCCGTGAACAACAGGTAATGCGCCGAGTTCTTGTGCTATCGTTAACCCAACTCAATCTTGCAGCAGTGGATGCTCACGTTCCCCCGACGCAGCTTTGCAGATCAACCCGAGATCAGTTCCGGCGACATACGATCAAAAAACCAATGTAAGAAACAAACAATTATCTTTCCTCAAAATTCTCGCTTTATTCAATATTTATTTTGATACCGCGGGAATATAAATTTTGAATTTGGCGCCGAAAGAAAGCCTTTTGGTTGGATGACAAAAAAAAATTATCAATCCAATCAAAAGGCACAATTTCAGCTTCAAAAAATCGCCGAAAAAAGATGTCTGATTGGGAGATTCATGAAAATTCTATCGCCCAATAAGAAAGCTTCATTTCTGGCGCCATGTTTAAAAATTCAAAATTTCCGAAAAATCAGCCATTTTGATTGGACAATTAATAAGATTAACATCAACAAATCAGAAAGTCTTATTTTTGCTTTCTTTTCAAAAAGGGCAATTTTTTGGCCCATCGGTGCAGATGGGTTAAAAAAGAAGAGTTTAACTTTTCATTGAGCGGAAAAGTCAGTGGGGTTCTTATTCTCGATAATCAACAGTAACGTGTTAAGTTCGCCAAATCTGGCGCTGGCCGTAATCTACCGCGAGACGCAAATACGAAAACGTCAACTCATCCGTATGAGACGGGCCGCAAGCCGCTGACCTGGGACGATCTTTACCCAGAAGATAAGCAACCGGCCAGTCACTTCTTGCCTGAAGAAGCTACTGTGCCTGTCCGACAGAATAACCCGCTGGAAAATGATCTGTCACGTGACTTGGAAGCGACGCCTAAGTTGGCGGCATTTGAGACTAATGTGGCCAAAGAGGCCCCGATTTATAAGGAAAGGGTTGGAGATACTATTTCGTCATTTAGAGAAGAAATTTCATCCAGGAGCAAACAAATGAGCTCAAAATTGAAAAATAACTTTCGATTTTCTAAGAAAAAATATGCTTTCAAGAAATTTCATTTGAACAAAACCATAAATTGTCCTCAAAAATTTTCAAAATTTTCAACCCTAATTTTCGTCTTCTGATGCCACTCCAACTAACACCCTTCAAAAACCAACATCACGTGACCGATCTGTCACTCCTGAAATCGTCGAACACTTGATGATCCCCGTAAAATCCAACCGAGAAGGCTCGAAAACGCCGGATTCCGGCATCAAGTCTCCTCGATCGCGAGAAATGAGCCCAAACTCGATTGAAGTTGATGATACCCTTAAAAAAGACAGGTATGGAAAGTGAGAGAAATTGAATCATTGAGTTTATAGGTCTTATGAAATGTATTTTTGCGATGAATAGGAAATTTCACACTTGTGAGAAATGGATAATTGAATAAAGAATAAAAAAAGAAGTGAGGAATTTGAAATGTTTTTTCGCTAAATTTTCGAATTATCGGGAAAATGTCTCTAACACTTCTTTTTTTTTACAGTTCTTATACTGAGTTTTTTCTAGAAAAAAAATATTTTTACCAGGAATCGAACCCAGGACCCTCCGATCACGATCTTATTTTTCAAAAATCATGAATTAATATTTTTAATTTTGAAATACAGATTTTTCTCGCTAAAAACGTTTCTGACGCATGTTGAATTCTAAAAGTTCGTTTTCGCCTCAAAACTCCGACCAACTCAGAAGTCGCATTCTGGCGGATTTCTGAGTCCACTTTTGTCACCAGAAAAAATGTCAATTATCTCATTGCGCTAATCTACCGCTCATTTTCGACTTCAGCACTTTCGAGTTTCGCGAAAACTCTCCACTTACTGGTGGCTCTTGCGATTCTTGTGGCCGCGATTTCGCGCAGTGGTAAGTTTCAAAATTACTTCTATCTGGCGCTAGCCCCTTAATCCTTAACCCATCCTCGTTTGATGTTTTCTTTTCAGCTCGGGCGGGCGTATCACTCCGCGGCTTGAATATCTCGAGTCCCTGGCCCAGCTACTCATCTCGAAAGCCGACGAAATCAAGGTAAAGCAAGCTTAACAAAGCGCTTAACCCTCAGAACTTAACCCGTCGACGCGCTTATTTACTAAAACAACTTACAACACTATTACTTTCTAAGTCAACACTTTTGATCAAAATCGAGAAGAATATTTTCTTAGCTACCGTAGAAAGTGTTTTCTATTAACCGGTTCTTATTTCTGTATTTATTTTTTAACCCGCTGGAGTCAAGATGACCGAATTTTGCTCATTACCAATTCTAGAGCTGATTATTATAATTAAACTTTCACGGCAAATTTCTTTGGTTAAAATTATTGAAACTGATGAAAATATTTTAATTTATTAACCCATTGATTGAAAGCGTCCCTTTTTGAGCCAATTATCGGCAATTCGTCGGTTTATGATTTATTTTAATAAATTCATCACGAAAAAATTGATGAATTAATAATCTAAAATCCGAATTTCAGCTGATTGGCTCAAAAAACGACATTACGCGTCGGTGGGTTAAGTCTTAAAAATGAGCCCTAAAATCGCAAATTTGACTCGAAATTTTTTTATTGCAAAAAGATATCCATTTTCTTTTTTCACTTTAAATTCGCGGAAAACAGGATTTACAGTTATCAAAGAGAGAACCAGAATTTGCATAGGTAAAATAATTGGCAAAGTGAAAATCAGATAATCATTTTTTCAAGTGCCTCTTTCACAATACTAACGACTTGAATTAGCATAATTAGCAGTCGAAGAATTTCTCGGCCGCCCCAAGACGCAATTTTTTCCTAATCTCGGATTTATCAATTGCTTCAAACAAGTATTAGAAACAGCGATGGCAGCTTTCGGGAAGATACAGTAAGATTGTAAGCGCCGGCCTTCAGACTCGTTTATAATTGATTATGTAATGGGGTTGAAATATTTGGAAGATGTTGTTGTTTGAGGTTAATCAAGAATCCTTAATTTTGGCAGCTTTCTATGAAGCTCAATTTTTCCGAGAGACTACCCGAAAAAGCTTAGCTTATGAAATTAACCTGTTGAGTCCAAATGTCCATTTTTGTGCCAAAGCTCAAAAATTTGCTTCTATACTAAATAAGTTCATTTTATTTGAAATTTCAATAATTGAAAAGGTTAATTAATGACTTTTTGCACGAAAAGGGACCCGGTTAGTTGACGGGTTAATTTCATTAGAGAAGAAATTTTGACTCAAAAACAAGATTTTTGAATTTTTACTGCTTAAATGGCTAAAAGGCAAAATCTGGACATCTTGCTTTCAATGGGTTAAAATCAATAATCCTCAATTTCTCCGGCCTTCTATGAAGCTCCTTTCTTCCGGGAAAAACTGACTTTTTAAATACGGAAGAGGAAAAGAAGCTTGGAAACCGCCAAGTACCCAAAAAAGATACAAACTCGAAAAAAAAGCGCTTCAACTCAGAATTTCTCAAAATGTTTATTTTATTTCAGGCGACGCAGGCAGAACTCAGGGAAATGGAGAAACTACTCAAAGATCATCAAAACAGGCTTCCAAGTTTTGCGTCACCAAAATTTTTTCTTAAAAAAATCGGTATTTTCTAAAAAGCCAAAAAGTTTCTAAATGACCTTCCTGGCGCATTATCGCCAGTGCTCCTTATCTAATCATTAAAGAAAGTAGAAAAGGGTAAAAATTTCGGGGGACTTAAATCAGCCACAGTGCCCGGCCACGTGCATCCGGATTAGGCGCGGCTGGATACTGTAGCTGACATTTTCGCCTCGGAAACTCGGAAAAGGTCGACGAGATCCAGCTTCAAACGCGTCCTCGAAGATAACCAGTGGGGCACGCAGACTACTCCCTCGCTGGCTAGAAGAGCTCATCTGCCACCATTCGTAAGTTTTGAGATTTATTTGATAATTGAATATGTAATATGCTAAGGGTAAGGGTTAGGGACAATAGGACAAATTTGAGATTCGACGGTTTCGCGCGACAGTGAGTTTTTGACGTTTCTTCGCGATTTCAAGCGATGAATTTCAACCAATCAAAAGGTTTTATTCCCGGATACCGACCGGTAGGCAGCCAATCAGCTGTCGGATTAGAAAACAACTTTCTTTATGAAAACATAAAAATAACCATAATATGAGATAAATATTGATGTTTTTTTTGAGTTCATAGAATAAAAATAAGGGTATCATTATTGAAAATAGTGATTTAAAAATTTTAAACATTTAAATTTTTTAAGGTGCCCCTGAAAAAGACAATTTCAAAACTGGCAATCGAAGAAGGAAAGAGTTCTTGAAATCGGCGACCGAAAAAAACATTCTCTTGGTCGTTTTCTTCGTGGGTTCAGGGGTCGCGCAAAATATCTCCAAGCCGAATAGTTGATGGTTTTTAAAGTCGAGAAAAGCGAACGAAAATTGGCCAGAAAGTGGCTTTTTTAAATTCTTAAAACGTAGATCGATAATTTAGAAGTTTTCTTTCAACTTACAAATTTAATAAAATGGACACTTCATGATTTCGGGCAAAATTTTTGGGGTAAAAAATTATTTTTGAGCTTCAAAATGGCCAAAAATTCTAGAAAAAAGCCGCATTTTTGGCCAAAAACTGAATAAAATCGATTTTTTAGCTGAAAGTTGACCAAATTTTTGACCAAAAATAATTTGAATACCAAAAAATATGGCCAAAAAGAAGCCATCTGTCCAAATAATTGGCCAAACCGAAATAACCAAAGATAAATCGCCGAAAGAAATGGATTTTCCAACATCGAACTTTTCTTTAATTTTGTAAAATCAATAATTGAACTCTCAAAAAAGACGTCGGAAAAGCCGAAGCCGTAGCTATTGATTCAACTGACCAAGTGGTTGCTCGTAAGAAAAAGCGCTCCCTATTCAGGTAAAAAGCAAATTGACAATTTGTCGCAATTCGTCGCTTACTCGCTTTCAGCTTCGGACGTAAGAAGGACAAAAAGAACAAGAGTCTCAAGGACAAGAATCAGACGCTGTGAACGAAAACACGCACGAAGAGAATTATTCTTTTGTTTTTTTTATTGAATTGAATTTTGAAAAATAAATTGGGAATCAAGATTGAAAATATAATGAATTTTTAAAATCTAATGATGAGAGGAATTTTATTGAAAATCATCAAGTCAATATCTGATGCTGAAATAATATTTAAAGTTCTCTTTATTGTAAAATGGTTATATTCCAGCGGACAAAAGCATAATATCCTTCGAGTTTGACCATTCCTTGTGAATCCGGCGTCAACTTCTTCGCCGAGTTTTCGCTCTTCCCATTCAAACAGTGAATATCGTCCGCGTCTGCTTGAAAGTCGACGCGTTTTCCTAAAAAATAAAAATCTCAAATTCAACAATCAATACCGTTCAAAAGAATCCACATTTTCCAGAAGCCGTCGCTCCATTGATGTCGGATCGTCCATCCAGCTTCCGAAACTTCTAAATTTTTGTCGCGCAAAAACTTTATTTTGGATGAAAATCGCGTCGAAAAAAAAAATCAAAAAAACTAAAAAATGCGATTTTATCCAATCTCTTCAAATTAAAAGTCGTGAACCCAGCTGCCATTGCTCGAAGCACCAGTCGCACTGCATCTTCGTCGTGTTCTTTTCGGAGAGATGAAGAGTCGTTGCCGCTGTAAAATCCAAATCCACTCTTCCAAGCATCGCCGAAGAAAGCCAGGATATTGTCTGTTATCATCTTTCTCAATTCTCCAATCGTTTCAATTTTGAATTCAAGTCGCCCATTGAGTTCCAAATTCTCCTTGTTCAAATGCTCGTTGATAACTTCCGTCGTCTCCACCCGATTCTTTCCGAAAACCAAGTCTTTCGGTCGAATTCTATTTTGAAGCTGTTTTACCAAACTGACGATCGAGCGATGATTCATCAAAGCTGCTGCATTTGCGGCTCTTTCTCCAAGGTCGATTTTGAGACATTCTTGAATCAAACTTTCCATCGCCGGGAAAACGACCTCCGCCGGGTTTCGGAGATTTTGGGCGATGTTGTTGATCGTTTGAAAGAGATTCCCAGTCGCGAAAGGGTGCCTTCAAAGAAGTAAGAAAACAAAAACATTAAAAAAAGTTTACCTGAAAGTGCAGAGCATTTGAAAAAAGATTCCCATCGCCCAAATATCAAGACTGAAAGAAGCATTTTCATTTCCTTGAGCTTGAAGACTCTCTGGAGGAATATATTCCATTGATCCTGCAATACCAGTGCTCATGGTTCCTTCAGTCACGCGGGAGACGTTGAAATCAGCGATTTTGATCTTCAAATTTGGGATAAGACGATTTCTCAACAATGAAACCTACCTCTTTTTCATCAGCAAAAAAAAGAATGTTTTCCGGCTTAATATCCCGATGGATGATATTCTCGCCGTGCAGGTAGTCTTTAAATCAATCAAGATCAGTCTAATAAAGGAAAAACTTACTCATAGCAAGAACAATCTGCGCACAAATCCCAAGAGCATCGTTTTCTTCCCATTCTTCTTCATTTTCACCTCCCTCTGAGAATTTTTAAACTGCAAAATCTTTTAAAATTTTAATCTACCATTTTCGAGTTTCTTCTGAAAGAACTGCGACAAGTCGCCTCCTGGAAGATATTCCAAAATCAGTCCTCGGTAGTTTTGGTTGTTCGGAGCAGTAAATGAGATGTCGTCGAGAAGTTTGACGACATGAGGATGGTCTTTTTGGGGGATATGAGGTCGCTTTAGCGCCGCCATCTGGCGTTTAATCGAAATTTTCAAAACCCGAACCTAGTCGTCGAAGAAGATCAACTTCAAGTTTCGCTTCTTCCTCCTGTTTTTCGTCGAAAAGAGCAATTCCTTTGAGCATCTTCAACTCTTTCCCTACCAGAATATTTCTCAAAATTTTTCCTTTCTTTTTTACCTTTTTGCTGGTCCTCAACAACCCAGTAAATTTTCCCATCTCTGGCAGGCTTCAGCTCTCTTACCGCCTTATACCTATCGTTTATCACTGTTCCTTCCATCTGTAACTGTATCTCTTTTGTGAAATTTGAGGTGTTTGATGATCGCTTTGCCGGACAAATATTTGCATTTTTTTGTGCAAACACTGCTCAGAATTCTGCTCTATTTTCAATCAAAAAATATGGTTGGTCCCGGGAATCGACAATTTTTGACGAAAAAAATAACTTGATATTTCTCCGGTTTCTGACAGGTCCAACGGGGGAAAACAAATATCTGATTGGTCTAAAATAAGACTTATATTCTTCTCAAAACTGCCGTCCGGAAATTGTCAATTTCCTTAAAATTTTTCAATCAAAATAAAATTTTCAATTAAAATTCAAGAATAAAAAATCACTGTTATTAGAATTTAAAATTCATTTATAATTTGAATAAATATAAATTTATAATTATCAATTTAATATTCAAGGTACTGAAATTGAAATTTTAAAATTACTCAACTTATATTTAAAATTTGATAAATGCATAAACTCCTGGCCTCCGAGAATGGCGTCCTAAAGTAGCGTAATTAGTGGGCGTTAGTGTCGGTAGACGCGTGCGTTTGTTAGTTATGAAAATGTCGCGCGTTCGCGAAAAATAAATTCCTGGCAAAACGTGCTAATTGCGTTTCTTCGCTCACTTTGGAACAACTACTGTTGTTTAATTTGATAGTTCCATTTGCGCGGCTAATTCGGGTCGACGCGATTAATCATAATTATCGAACTTGTGAAATTTACGTGGAACGTGAAAGAACAAGATCTCCTGCGTTTTAAGAGGATTTTCGATCCGCAACGATTTTTTTACGAAAACATGCCAGATTCACATGCAATAATTCCAACAGCACAAGCCGCGATTAAGTATAACATTTGCGACGTCTTTATGCAATAAAGACTCTACTAAAAAAATGTTTAACGTTTAGATCCCCAATTATGTCACTAAATGTCGCTGAATATCGCCGAATATCGCTGAATGTCGCCGGATTACTCTGAGTGTCTCTGAATGTCGCCTTATGTCGCCGAATGTCACCATATGTCGCGGAATGTCGCTGAATGTCGCCGAATGTCGCCGAATGTCGCTAAATGTCGCCGAATTTCTTTGCATGTCTCTGAATGTCGGCGAATGTCCCCGAATAACGCCGAATGTCGCCAAATGTCGCTGAATGTCGCTAAATATCGTCGAATGTCGCTGAATGTCGTCGAATGTCGCTAAATATCGCCGAATGTGGCCAAACTTCGCTGAATATCGCCAAATGTCACGGAATGTCGCCAAAGAGGCAACTTTGAAGGAAAGCTCCTCTAACGTAGGAAATGTCCCCAATGTCACATTGGCAATGTGTGACCCTAACTCAAGCCTTAAAAACATGTTTCTCCTGGAGAAAAACCGAGTTTTGAAGGATCGAAAAAGAAACTAAAAAGTCACGTTATACGAGTCCTGGCGCAGGTGTACTCACACCTCCGCTGATTCTTCTTCTACTCAGACCTTAATTCGCCCAAATCCGCGAATTTCGTTTCTAAATATCCGATATCACCCTCTTCGGCTAAACAAACAAGACCGCAAAAGTGGCCCACTTTCGAAGTTTTAAACGGTACTGACGAAGCCAGTTATTTCACTTTCTTTTGTGTCTTTATTCTGAGTAAGTTCCATTAGACCAGATTCTAGTGCCGCTCAGTTGAGCAGAAAAAATCGCAAAAAATCGCTTCTAAGAGGGATTCAAAGTCGTTTTTGGAACCAAAAATCGTTTAGCTGAGCTGGTAGCGCAAGAGTGACCAGAACGGAAATGCTTGAAAATCCGTAATCGGAGCTGATTTACAACAGAAATTCGAAAAAGGCACGTTTCTCTCGAATCTTTTATGCCTTGTGGAGCAAAAATTTGTTAGGATTCATCTAAAAATTAAAGATTGTCGATTCGCCAAAACTTGTTTATTCAATTATACTTTATTAAAAACCAAAATAAGGGTATCACTTTTTTAATTTTTTCAGAAAATCGAGTTTTCTGTAAAATGTTTCCTTCGAGTTCTATTTGAAAATAAATAAATTCCTGACTGTCAAATGCAATAATTGATTTTTTTGACAGCTGTGCAAATGAAGATCGGATAAAAAAATATAAATCCGAAATCGATGAGTTCGAGTTGTTTATGTAAATGTGTTTTCAAGAGTGAAATGTTTTCGGCGAGAAATAAGACTTTGATGATATTTCTTTTTTCTTTGGCCATTGCTTTGTAGGTTCAAGAAATTATTTTTGCGCAGAAACTTGTCCTTGCGATCAATGAGTATCGTATAAAGTCATGTGACAATATATATAAAAAAGTCATCAATGAGATGAAGTCCAAAATCGATGAGGTTATCTGTTTTTAGAGAAAAAGGACCTAATATGGTTTTGGAGATATTTAAAGTTTTTTCGATTTTAGCTTTATTTCTAGTTTCTTTACTGTAAGTCAAAAACAAACGAGACTGTTTTACCAATACTGCTCCATAGAATTCTGACGATTGGAGGAAGCAGCGAATTCAGCCTGGACGGAAGCGAACTGAAAAAGAAATACGATGATTTTATCGACACTTCTATATTTTCCCCGTTTTCATTTTTCTCAATCGCTGTTTTTATCCTGCTTTGCTTGATCTCACTTATTCGAAATTTTCAGAAAAGAGAGCTTCATATCATCAACTGTTAATAATTTCTCAAAGTACCACTATTTATTCAAAACAGATCAAAATATAAGCATTCAATTAAAATACAGAAAGTTTTTTTTTCATCCCCCACCATCGCAACCACCGCCGCCGCCGTCTCCTCCACCGCCAAAATCTCCTCCCCCGTCTCCGTCTCCTCCTCCACCTCTTCTCGATTCCGGCCCATTTTGACAGCAATAATAAAGCAGCGGCAAAGCAAATACTGGTCCAAAAGTCATGAAGAAAATAAGCAGCGAATCCATCGCTAGAATAAATTAAAAAGCAAAAAGCAAGCGATTCTTTACTGCGACAAACGAGGGAAAAGTAAAAGGACTGCGTCAACTTTGCATGGGGCCTCGGGCAAAGTAGGATGCTTTTTCATGTGAGCTTGCACTTTATGGCTGAAGAATGACTTTCAGACTGATTTTCTGGGAGCTGACTGGAACCGACAAAAAATTTCGACAAATTTTGCGTGGAATTTTTCGACCAATCAGAAGCCCTGATTCTGCAAACCAGCCAATCAGCAGCCGAGTAGCCGCCCACGCAAAACTTGTCGAATTTTTTTGTCGGTTCCAGACAGAATCCCTTTTTTTCGACCAAAAAAATTGAAGGGGGGGGGGGTCCTTAAGTCGGAAATTCAATTTTGAGGAAAGTTTTAAATCGATGTCTAGTCATGAATATTTGGGCATAACAAGTGATTCTAAACAAACTAATACGCGATTCTGTAATTTGCTCAAAGCGAGATTTTCGTTTGATTTTTGATTTAATATTTTGCTTATCAATATTTGACTAAAACGCTCACAGAAAATTGCTCAAAATCCGCTTAGAGCAGCTCAATACGTGCGCGATTTTTTTAAAAATAACTCGACGACAAAATCCCAAATATTGACGCCCGAGATTTTCGGCTGCTGACGAGGCATTTATTTTCAGCCGAAATGGAGGGTTTTTTAATTTCAGGGAATCAGTGAAATTCATAAAAGATTGGGAAAGTGTTTTAGAAACAGACTAATACAGGCAGTCGCCACAAGATTTTGTAGTTTACATGTTCGACAACAATTCTTTGACGCGAGAATAATGTATTCGGCTTTAGAAGTGTTCCACATCAAAAAACAGATTTTCTAGCACTAATCCGGAATGGATTTTTAGAAAACTGAAAATCTCAATAAATTTTTTCTGAAATCTGATTGGCCTATCGGCTGAAAGCGGAAATCTGATTGGTCTAGAATTTAAGAAGTGAAAACCTTCCTTTTAGATTAAAATTAAGGGTGTCGAAATGATAAATATTTCAAACGAATTTGCGAAAAAAGCGGCTATTGACGGTGACCCCCTTAAATCAGGATGATTGAAAAGAAAGCCTGAAGGCTTGGTTTCTTTTTAAAATCAGTTCTAAAAGAGTAATTATTCTTCGAAAGCAGGTGTCCGTCATAATAACTGGGTTTCGATGACGAAGCTGAAAAAAAGCAACGAAAAAGTGAAAGTGACTAACTGTTGGGCGCACGTGTTTTTCGCTCGTTAGAAAGAAGTTCTTGAGTTGGCGGCGATAGCACTTCAAAGCAACAGCAATTTAGAAGCCGGTTCAAATGTTAATGTCCGCCGCTTATCGCCGCTTAACGAGCCCCGAGATACTATTGAAGCCGGATCAACCATTCAACGAAACATAAGAACAGCTATAACCAGTGCCGTCACCTCTCAGCCAAACGAAAACAGTAAACAAATACCTCTTTGAAAAATCTACTCAATAAACTTGAGTTGAAGTTCAAGTTCAACGAAACAACGGCCTCTGATTGGCCGAGAAGAGGACCAAACAGCGCCACAATGCGTACATAAAAGAGATTTTTTGATTTACGAAGAATTTCCATAAAAATATGGTAAAATTTGCGAACTCGATTTGGTTGACTCTTTCGTAGCGAAAAGCGCCACTATGTGAGTAGTAGAAGTTAAAACTTGATGGAAACGGCTTCTGATTGGCCGAAAAGAAGAAAAACAGCGCCACAGTGCGGCTTTTAGTTAGAGATATCTATACTTTATGGGTAAAATTTGCATTGTGGTAAGAATAAATTTGACAGTTCTGATTTGCTCGTCGATAAAAAAAAGCGCCACCATGCGACCAGAAAGAAGAATTTACCTCAAAATGTATAATTGAGTAGCTTTTTTCTTCATAAAGACTAAATTCGACAATGAGTCAGCTTCATAAAAGAACTCGTGACAAAAAGCATAAAAATGATTGGCAGAGCACATATTTGCGGGCTTATCCCCACGTCGACCACTAGCTATTTCGATCGCGCATCATTTCCTCCGCGAAATTCGCAAAGCACCATTTATGCATCAAACTTAGCGGCTCTGAATACAGTCTAACCTTCCCTTTCAAAATAACAATTTTCCGAAATTTTCACGAAAGCAACTGAAAACAAACATTTCTAATTTTGAAACTGTTATAACAGAAATATTTCTTTTTCATTACATACAAGAATATTACTTTGATTTGTCTCTTATAACTAGGTGCTTCGCTCAAAACCTAACTTCGTCTCTTCAAGGGGTTTTACGGTTCATTTTTTGTGCATTTTTGGTTTTTTTATGATTATGAATAGAAATCTGAAAAGTTAAAGGGAATCTAAAAATCAGACATTAGTTTCCAGAACTACAGAAATCAACATATGTGACAAATAGAATTGGATAATACACTTTTGCTCTTTGATCTCCAAGAAGATCTGTTGAAAGAATTTGTTCATCCGAATCTCAGCAATGGTTATTATCTCATTATTTATCCATATTTTTTTTTTAAATAATATTTTTTTTTAAGTTGATTAAAAATAAGGGATAATAAGGAAATTTTCCTTTGTACGTTTGTTCAAGTAACTAAAAACAATAACCGATGCCTAAATTGATGCGTTGGATTTGAAGTCCTTGATCTCCATAACGAGGAAAAACGTATGAAGAGTCTTCAACGAGCAAGACTGATGATGTATCAACTGCCTAAAATAAAAATTAAAAATATTTTCTTCTAACATAACGTCCCCCCTAGCTCGCCAAAATTTTTGTGAAATTTTTTCCCTTGCTCGCTTAGTTTAACTCCAACAAGACCTCCCTTGGTCGCTCGCTTTTTGTAACCAAAGTTGCCTTGGTCGCTTTCCTTCTTTTGCTTTCTACGCCCCCTTGTTCGCCCTCCTTGGTTTTGACGGCGCACCTTTGCTAGAAGACCTAACTTAGAGATATCTGTACTATGAATGCACAAGCGCTAGTCGCGGAATAAAACAGAGCTTCTTAGCTTTTTACACAAATTGTAGTGCTCTCTTATTTGAGACGAAAAATCGCACTACAACACTTCTTTCTCCTCATTCATTTTTCGAGATTCTTCGAAAGAATTGAGGGATAAATCTGGGTAACCTACGTGTACCTTGTAGGGTTGCCTTGTAGAACCCTCGGGTGAAATAAGCTAGTTTAAGCAGTCTCAACATGAGCATCCGACTTTTTTGAGTATAAATGTACATATGAGGTCACACAATCATGTTTACGGCATACTTCAGCGTTGCTACAAGGTATAAAAATTTAACTGGATACTTAAAGAAGAAGAAAATAACATAAAGTTCTTGTCAGAATATTCATGGAAATCGAAAATATAGTTCCCGATGAAAAGCTTGAGTCGAAAGTAAGAGCGACCCAAGCCGACCTAGGCTTTGACGGTCTCACGGCGAATAAGGGATAAATAGGTAAAGAGAAGCGAACAAGGGCGCGCGGGGTTAAAAGAAAGATGGCGACTAATGGATCGCGCTGAAAAAAATAAGAGGGAGCGAGGGGAATTCGATGAAATTTAATTTAAAGAGCAAGGGAAAAATGTTCACAAAATGTTTGCGAGCTGGGGGTGGGGTACGTAAATAAGAAAGAAAAATAAGAACCTGTGCGAGATAACCAACAAGAGACCATACGTCATTATATAATTTCCAAATTTCGTCTAAGCGACCATATTTATCATAGTCGTATCCCCCAATTGTAAGGAGAGCACCTGAAGATAATCCAATGGCAGGCGCACTTCTTATCCATCTGAACAATGCGAACATGTTCCGCGAAAATTTATACATTAATAATGAACTATTATTTAAATGATTTAACAAAGATAAAATCTTTTTTATTCTACAAACAAAAGGTTAAACTCTCACCGTTAGACCGTAAAGAATTAAAAAAAAATGGTTCTTCTTATTCCTACTCTTATCTTCACTGTGTACGCAATAATCAATACCTTGGATGATTCTCGAGTTCGATCCATACATCCCCGTTAAATTGCTCAACTGCACCTTTTGAGCTCCAGCCTCCAACCACCGTTGGACGCCTATTGTAAAGAGCAAGACCAGCACGTTCGTTTCTATTTATTGTAGAGGAAATTCGTTGGACATTTTCTCCATCAAAAAGATCGCAGTGTTTTTGAGCATAAATGTCGAAGCAAATGATTGCTAAAATTGTATTACAAAAAAAAATATTGATTCGCTTAAACCTTTTTTTCCTCCATACATTGTCAAGGCCCCGTGACCCAAATAATATTTCTTTAGTAGTTCAACTGGCAATTGAGTAAATCTGCAACCATCTAATCGCGCAATCTATAAAAAATATGGCTTGATTATGTTCTGTTGGGTGTATTATATGACGTAATTTATATCTTTGGATCTGGTCAAAGAGCGCCGACTTAACAATTGATCACGCTTTTATATAGAAATTTCAATATTGCTTTAAAATATGCTCATATGGGCTCAACCCTGATCTAACAATCAAAATTTAGGATCCCCAATCGTGAAAATAAGGCTTTTTTATGCAAATTTTTCTCAAAATTTATCTTCCAAAGGGAACCTTTAGATCAGCGGAGCTGAGCAAAATTTTTTTCCTATAGCGGACCGGAGCTGAGCTTTCTTCAATTCTTAATCGAATATCATGTTAATTTTCAAAAATCAAGATAAAATATTTACCTTTTTACTTGACGGATAGCCACCAAAAATATGAAGTTTGTTATTAACAAACGCGCTTTTTGAATTGTATGTGTATTCTGCTATTCCATAACCGGCATTTTCATAAAATAATGGCGGTGACAAGGAAACTTGATCATCAATCGATCCGTCCGCAAGGAATGAATAAGGGGGTTCAAGATTCCTTGAAAGGTCCGGTAGAATCACAGTTATCTGGGTCGATTGTTCAGTACAATAGAAGTAATTTCTGATCTGAGTATTATGACCATATTTAAAAACTCTGAGCTTTTTTTCTGTTATAGAATTAAGTCCATGCATTTTTTTGAATTGTCTTCTTTCTTGAAATACCTCAGGTACCCGATTTAGTGTCGCCCAATTTAGTGTCGCTTTTTTCGAAGAGCGGGAACCCGCAAATTTTAATTTAGTGTCGCTTTTTCGAACAACACTGTTTTTGCCACTAAATTTCGCTAGAATTGCAATTTTTTAAATATTAAAAACACAAAACAGCATGTTCTATAAACTCCATGCGAAATGCCCCAATATTATTAGTCATTTCAAAATTGATTTTTATGAGTAAAAACGACTATTTTGCGATGTTCCGACCAAATAAATTCAAGAGGCACTTTATTCTGAGTAATAAGGCTCAAAATTGGTGCCAGTAACCAGAAAAATATCTAAAGATACTAGAAAAAATAAAGAGTTATTATAACTTCGAATTTCATATCGGCAACCATTCGATTCCAATTTAGTGTCGTTTTTTCGGAATTTCAGGACCAAAAAAGCGACACTAAATCAGGTACCCGAGGTACTCCTTGAACCTCTGATATTTCAACTGTAGTTGAGTCCGATGTTTCATTATATTTCAATTTTAATTCGATGTCTATCCAATTAGCTAGAGTCGAATTAACAGTTATTTTTCCATCGTAATAATCAGAGTCAATCCAAACAGACCCATTTGTGTAAGTTCCAAAGATAAATAAAATCTTTTCATCAAGAAATTTGCTTTCAGAAAACTTGTGTTCATAGTTAACGTCCTTAATTTATTTTGCTTGTGATCTATTTTACCGATTTTTAATAAAATAATTTTTTTAAAATGCGTATTAATTTCTTACCTGAATAAAAAATTGCATTTTAAAGCTTTCCGTTTGATTAAATTTTAATTCAAGTGATGAAATATGCCGAATCTCTTCAAGTGATGTAAATGCAATATTTGGGACAATCGTCTTAGGAACAGGCTGAGACATCGAACTTGGGGCTGAAGGAAATGGCTGTTGAGCGATCGCATTTTTCGAAAATGCTGGAAAAATATCGTCGTGAAAAGCAAAATATGGATTGCTCGTGACGTGCATTTTTCCAAATTCTTTCATTTGAACGAAGTTAATGTCTATTTTCTCTGAATTATTGTTCAAAAATTTAATTTTCTTACTAAAAATATTTTCTATTTTTAAACTTCCCGAAATTGAATTCTATTTCAAATGTAGCGTCAAATACATAATTTTGTATGAAGAGCTTCTCGCCACTTATGATTCCTTGACCAAAGTATTCACATTCATCGTTATTGTTTTGAATATGATCAGTGTATGACGGATCATTGGAAGTAAATAATTTTGAAAAACATCGCGAGTTTTTTTCGTATTGAACAAGTGATCCAATCCATTCGCTACCTAATTGCAAGAATTTTCCTTCGGCCTCTAGTAATAACGAGTAAAGAGTGTTAGAAAGTAAAATGCTTCTTGTCACGAGAATGAGCATCAGACGACCAACGTCGATCTTTATTAGGGTTAAATATAACCATTCATCCCAGACTATAGTTATATAGTTGAATAATCTTGGTTGATGTGAAAAAAGAGCTTTACTTTACTTTACTTTATTTTAAGCCGAATCGCTGCTTTTTTATGCTCCGGAAAGGTTAAATAGCCGTTAATTACTTCAACTGATTATATTCCTATTGTTAACTCCAAAACGTACAGCGACCAATTGATTGAAAGAACGCCCTGTAATGCCATTTTAACACATAAAATTGAAGTTAAGCTTTTTTAGAATTATTTATCTGTATCATTTTTACAGTGAACTAATTAGTTTCATTGTTAAAAAGGGGTAAAATGGGCATACCAATTAATTGGTACGATCTGCGTTCAACGTTGAAAAAATTTTATGCGTTCCGACGTTAACGATCGTTTGAAAAAAAAATCTGATTTTCTTAGAATCATATTTACGGTCTTTAGCATGACCGGTTTCGGGCAATCCGCAGATTTTTCAACGAATTACTTGCGCAGAGAGTCTTTTCACGGTCTACTCGCGATACTAGGTTTCTCCTTGCGGCTAAGTAGCTCGCGATTATCCATAACCCATTACTTGTAATGTAACTCGATCTACTTGCACGGGTTTACACGCGAATTACCCGCAGAAAAATCTGCTGACTACCCGGAAAAAATTTCATAGTAATTTCAAAGGACTCGAAATCGACAGCCATCGTCTCGAGTCAAAAAGTCCGTGTACAGTAGGCTTTAAATTTTTTTCGAACCCAGATGTTTATTTATGATCCTAACACGACAATAAAATAGAACCCTATTCAATGGAAAGACGTGAACCGGATCCAAATCTCTGAATTCGGCAGGCAAGCCAATCTCATTTTTGCGCCATCCTTTTTCCATTTCTTCAGTCTTTCTTATTCGGTTAAGGGCAACAGTTGTCGACAGTTTTATCCACCGTTCGCCGAGCCTGACACTCATCAGATAAAAGGTCCCGCCGAAGCTTATAGAAGATGTTTTCGCATTGAAATGATTGCTTGCTATGAAGCCTTGGGCTTCCTCGAAACGGTTCAAATTGTAGTCTGGTGCATAGTAATAACATTTATCTGATCTACCAGTTGGCGAACTGAGACAGGTCAAAACAAGCTAGTCATTAAAAAAATTTTCTTAAGAATTGAGCTCTTTAACCATCACAAATAGCGACAACAGGAAAAATGAGTCTGCCTTTGTCTTTTCGACGAATTTCGATTTGATGGGTTCCAATCGATGAACCGAAATGAAAAACAAAAAAACCCCTTAAATAATTTAACGAAGCGTAATAAATCAAGCATACAGTCGTTGATCACGTTTTGGAATAAATATGGGATCGTCGTTGGTTTCCTTCAGTCTAAGTAAATTTCCTTTCGCATCGACCAAATAGTGTTCGCCGCCGAGAAATGTTGCGCCTATTGACTTATCATTTTTTCATTGATGTTTTTAAAAATGAAGCTAAAAGGTCCCGGGATACCTCCAAAGGATACAGCCTTGGATTTTGAACTTTCGTAGCGCCAAATCCCTGCTACGAATTAATTCATATTTCGTAGAAACCCTACTCAAAATTTACTGTTGATTTCAAAAATAACCTTATTTTTAGTGCTTTTAAGAGTGTTTCAACCTCAGAATCGACCTCTTAATAAAACAGACCATTATTCTCTGAAAGTTTCGACTAAAAAGGTAAATCGGACTCGATGATATGAAAGATTGATGCCTTATCTCCAATCTTGCGGTGGATTTTGTAAAAATATTGAAAATTAAGGCTTCTATGAACTGGTTTTTGATTGTACTTCGAAATTGAGATTGGCGCGCGCAGTGAGAGCGAGAAGAGAATCTCTTTCAGCCATCGCTCTTCCTATTTTACACGAGAAATTTTGTCGACAGCTTGGACGAAAGTTAACTGACAACTATAATCCACCGCTGGATTGGAGATGAGGCTTCAATCTTTTAAATCTTCGAGTCAGATTCATCTTTTGAGTGGTAATTTTCAGAGAATAATGGTCTGTTTTCTTTAGAAATGGATATTAAGATTTAAATAATACTTAACATAGGGGAATTTTTAAGTCTTCGGTAGATTTGAGGTAGGGTTTCTTTAAAAAATGAATTAATTTGTAAAAGGGATTCGGCGCTACAAAAGTTCAATATTCAACGTTTTATCCTTTATAGTGAGCTTTAATTTTAAAATAAATCTTGCTTATTTTTAATTTTAAAAGGTAATATTATAAAAAAACGTTCATAGTGGAAAAGAGAATCTGAGGCATTAACTTTAAATTGCTTTTCACTCCCATAAAAGTCAATTAGAAGAATTGGATAAAAGCGCTCTTTTGGCTGCCGATTTTCCCAACGGCCGGTTATCAATTCAATAGCTACGGGATTATCATCTTTTTGTGGAAACTTAAGTTGTTTGATTGTTATATTCTTTATATAATATAAAGTAAACAATTTCTGCCCGTTGCCGAGCGTAGAACGGTATCTAAAGAGAATTTAAATTTTATTATGATGAATGAATCAGATACAATAATATTATTTAAGGGATCCCCTCCCGATTTGAAAAATGTCATCGAGGGCTTTTCTGTGATACCTTTTTAAAATCTCCATTGTCTGAGGATCATTTTTATATATTATGTCAAGGGGGTAACGCCACGTGATGAGCAGTGACAGAGCTTTGAAAATGGCTAATTTCGACCAAAAAATTTATCGACAGATTCTTATGAATGAGTGCTCTGTGGATAGCTTAGACGAAGCTGAATCAAGAAAAAATAGTTTCGATGGAATATTTAGCCACTTAGAGGCGCTACAGAGCATAGAAAGTCTTAAAAATGGCTAAAATCAGTCGTAAAAGTTTTTGTAAAGAAAAAATCTACAATCCTTGACAACATCAGATGCCTGTACTATAGATTGTAGTTAAGGGCACAAGGAAAGTTTTAAGAACAAGATCGGGGGAATATATCAGAGGGAAAAAAAGTAGATCGATTTTGAAAATGGCCCAAAACAAGGGTTTTGGCGACTATCAATGTCTTCAGGGCTATTTTTAGAGGTGATTCGCTTTTCCAATTTTGATTTTCTTACTAGAGATTTCTCATTAAGAAATGGGCTTCAAAAAATGCCTCTAACTTCTAAGATAGCTAAGCCCGAAAAAAAGAAGTTCGACCTCAAAGTTGGCCGAATCGGTGGGATCCCTTAAAGTACAAATAACACCCGGTGATGGTCATGAAAAAGGTCCCGGAAGTAGTAGGTTCATGTTCGCCAAGTTTTTTTAGAAGAAAATTTGCAGGCGGCCTAGAAAACTTAGGTGAACAATCGTTCCACTTTTATGGAGCGGAACGCTCGACAACCGGTTCAAAATGAAAAAATCTAATGGCATGTTCCTTTTTGATTCCAAAAGTCCTTCAGAACTTATTATTTTTGTCGGTGTTGTCAACGACCACAATGATGTTGAGGTTGATGGATACTGCGTTGACGTTGATTCAATTAATGGTGAATGAGTAGTGTTTTCTCCTGAATACTTTGACCCCTGTAAATTAAAAACAGGAGTCAGTGTTTGATGCGTGCCCAATTTTTCGCAATCGTAAAAAGGACAAGGGCATCCTGATCTGCAGTACTTTTCTGTTGGACAAATTTCTCCAGCAGAATCAAAGGATCGTGTTAGCTGGAAGCAAATTGATTCACAGGGTGAAATGAAACTGTTCCGACTGTTTTCTAAGACAAGCGTTTTTGAGCATAGATGCCGGCAGACTTTCGTGTCATAAAATTTTTTCTTTTTACAGCGACGTAAATTCAATTTATTTTCCTCCTCGGAGAATGATTTTGGCAAGCGTTCTTTCATTCGAGCAGTTGTAACTGGCTCTGGAAGGATAAATTGTTTTGTTTCCCGGCATTTTTTCATTAAATAACCGCAGGTATCAATTGATTCAGTACGGACACATCTTTTGTAGTTTCGATGACAAGTCGAAGTCAAAAAAGTTGTTTTGTTTTTTGATCTTTCTAGCGAGATGAAATTTGCTAAGAACGCGATATTATAAAAATTACTGAGAAGTCCATACTTAGAAGCATGATTGATATCCAGAAAAGAGAACCCCCTCCAAGATAAACTTGCAGTTGGCGATTTGTTGAGAATCCATGTTTTGTCAAAGTAATTTTCCCTTTTATGACTTTTTTATACGATTTTGCATTCAAATCTTTCCTTTGCGTACGGATGCTTCGAGAAGATAAGACCTCTTCTGGTACAAGATATACTTTATCATCTTTTTGATTGAGAACACCGATGCAATGACAATCCAAGCACTTATTTTATCTTGTTTTTTCATAAAAGAAATCTCACAAACCTGAACCTTAGGTTGTTGCAA